CCTGTAAACAGGACAATTTTGTTGTCAATGAGGATAGTTAACATTTTATCAATATTCTTGCAATAGCTAATCCCCATTTTTTCTCACCTGAGCAGAAGGAGTGTGCACAGCTGTGAGGGAATGATTTCAGGTGAGCTGAAGTTGGTGCTTACATGCCACATATTCAAAGAGTTAGGTTTAGCACAACAGAAAGTACAAAATATTTATAATTCAATACCAGTGTTTCCTGTTTCTACTGGTAAACTGTCTGATGGAGGACCCAAAGTAGCCCCAGTTCCACATCTCTTAAAAATGCGCCATTTGGCACAGCACATACTTCTGGGAACATTGAGCAGGATCTGCTGCCCCAGATGGATCCCTAAAATATATGGGATGGGATTCATCTGGGAGTCCTCAAAGAGCTGGCTGATGTCATTAAAAAAGCCTTTCTCAGTGATTTTTGAGTGGTCTTGGGAATCCAGAGCACTCCCAGCTGACTAGAAGCTGGAGAATATTTTCAGGTTTTAATACAAAGAACTTGTCTTGTGGAGGACAGAAAATGCAGGATCCTGTCAGTCTCACTTCAGCGTCTGGTAAAGTTATGGTGTTTATTCTGGGAGATAATGAAAAACACCTAAAGGACAACACAATCATTGGTCACAGCCAGCACAGCTTCATGAGGAGGTGTGCTGCTTATCAAACCTGATTTCCTTTTATGACAAGGTAACACACCCAGTTATCAAGGAGAGATGGTGTAATCTTTTTAGACTTCAGCAAAGCTTTTGATACCATCTCTCACGGGAGCCTTCTGGACAAAATGTGCAGCCCACAGCTGGATACACACATCGTGTGATGGGTGAGCAAGTGGCTCATGGGTCAGGCACAAGTGGTTATAGTGGATGTGGTGACATCAGACTGGGGACCTGTCACTGGTGGGGTTCCACAGGGCTCCATCTTTGGCCCTGTGCTCTTCAACATCTTCATAAATGACTTGAATGTAGGACTGGAAGGGATAAGAAGCAAGTTCCCAGGTGATACAAAACTGGGAGGAGTTGATGCCCTTGAAGCCAGGGAGGCCCTGCAGAGAGACCTTGACAAATCAGGGGACTGGGCAGTCACCAACCATATGAAGTTCAACAAGAGAAAGTGCCAGATTCTGCACCAGGGGTGAGGCAACCCTGGATGTATGGACAGACTGGGAAATGAGATGCTGGGAAGCAGTGTCAGGGAAGGGGACCTGGGGGTCCTGGTCAGTGGAAAGCTGAACATGAGCCAGCAGTGCCCTGACAGCCAGGAGGGACAACCCTGTCCTGGGGGACATCAGGCACAGCATCACCAGCGGAGCAAGGGAGGGGATTGTCCTGCTCTGCTCTGGGCTGGGGCAGCCTCACCTCCAGTGCTGGGGGCTGGTTTGGGCATCTCAGTATAAGATACTAAGCTATTAGCATCCCAAGGAAGCCGGTAAAGATGGTGAAGGGTCTTGAATGGAAGGAACCCTTATGCAGGTGAGCTCACTTGTCTGTTCGGCCTGACTGAGGAGCCTGATGAGAGACCTCATTTTGGATAACTTCCTTGTGAAGGACAGGGGAGGGGTAAACACTCATCTCTTCTCTGTGCTGACCATTGACAGGACTCAAGGGAATGGCCCGAAGCTGTGTGAGGGGAGGTTGAGGTTGGGTATTTGGAAAAGGTTTTTCCCCCTGAGTGTGTTTGGGCACTGAAACAGCTCCCCAGGCAAATGGTCACAGTACCACCCTGACAGTTCGAGAAGTGTTTGGACAATACTCTCAGGCACATGGTGTGACTCTTGGGGCTGTCCTGTGCAGGGTGTCAGGAATTGGACTCAGTGACCCTTGGAGGCCCCTTTCAACTCAGCATATTACGATTCTAGACATGATTATGCAGCTGTATAGACTGGCAGAGAGCTTCTGTCTGAGTAAGGAGTCTTGTTTTGCTCTTGCAGCAAGAGGCAAGTGAGTAGATTTATGAGAAAGCACTGCAAGAGATTTCACCACCTGCCAGTAAAAGCTAGTCAGCTGAGAGCCATGGGGTTAGTTGTGAACGTTAGATGGTGAACAAAGTACCAAGCACAGCATGAAGTGCAGCTTCAGACTTTTCCCTGGAATGTATGATGGTACAGAATTCAATAAGAGTTTGATGTAACCCTGGTGTTTGATGTATTTACAGGCATTAAAGCTAGTTGCATTAAATCCACACTTAAAAGAATAGCCTGGACTGAAGATTTATTCTGCTAAAGCAGTAGGCAGGAAACAGCACTTCTCTTCGTTGTTTTCTACACAAAGCACACCCATCTGAGAAATAGACAGTGGAACAAATGAAAGGGCAGAAGTATAGAAGCTCTGCTTGAAACTGATTAGAATTTTCAGAGAGCTCTGCAATAAAGTTTTGTTCTGTAAAGTAGGTTTGCACAATTGTCGGGTTTACATTGTCAGCATAGCTGCCCTGGGAAAGCTTTCATTACAGAGAGCATGCAAGCTCTGAGTAGACACTGGAACACTAGGGTGTGTTGCAATAATGTTCCTATTGAAAGCATGCACATGGTCATATGGATCACACCCATCACCTTTCTGATCCACAATGTTCTGCTTGTAGAGGCCATAATCATTATGCACAGAGAGCAAAATCCTGTCAAGCCCTCGATAAAACATATTCCTAATATGGATTTTTTAAACACTGAGTTATCTGATCCAATTAACGCATTGATTGATTTTGCAAAATACTGTGCTAATTACATGCAACCAGTCATTGCTGGGTTAATTAAACATGCATCGAAGAAACCTACAGCACTAATCTAATTAGCAATTACTACAGCTGTCATTACCTCTTTTCACCTACTTTAAAGCTGTGCAAATTGACACTAAGAATCTCGTCCTGCAAACTCCTTACATGAATAGCTTTCTTTGACTGCAGTAATGCTTCAGCACAGAGAAGCTTTAAAAATTAGGCTGAAGACTTTGCAGTCCACAATATAGTTTAAGTTCAGACATCCTCATGATAAAGTCATAGCATAGCCGTGAGTTTTGTCAAAATTACAAGATTGGAAGATTTTTCTTTTAATTGATATGTGATCATACTGGGAGTGTCCTAGCTTCAAGTGGTTGCTTGCAAGTATCAAACCTAAAAACATACTTGCATTTCAGTAAACAAAAAACAATAAAAAATGTGGATGAACATTCTTATATATTCAGACAGCTTTAAAACATGTGTTAAACTCTGAGTAAAATGTCTCCGAACACTTGGCTTTTTCAGATTTAAAAAAGAATACATCAATAAAGAGAAAAAAGTTGAGAACTTAAATGCTGTGAAAATGCTTTTATTTTTTAGGCTTAATTAAAAATGGACACCAATTTTCATACACAATACAGGGATGAAAAGACCTTGATAGGTAGTTACTCAGAATGGCGTCATTTTATACGCCATAGCATATAAACAATTTATAGTTTTCATGTCAGTCCTTCATGTAAAAGAATGGAGAGAAGACTTTTCTTGAGTTTTACTACACAATTTTTATTATTTAAAAGCAGGTTTATATGTAATAAAAGGTAACTATATACTAATCTTCAATTCATTCACTGCAAGTGGCTTGAAGAAGCAAACAGCTTCACACCCAGTATCAGAATGTAATTCAGATGCAATTTTTTGTAAATATTCAACATGGATCTTGGATTTCAAAGCCGTGCTGTACGTATTTTCTGAAAGAATATTGAGATACTTCTAATCCCGTTGCAGTTCAAATACAAGGAGTCATTTACCCAGCCCTTGAATTTGACGTCAAATAAGCTAAGTCAACAGTGATTTCCAGTACCCTTAAAAAGAGCTTTGATAGTTTAACAACAGTAGCCCAGGTCTGAGAGCAGATTCCCAGAGGAATGAAAAAACTGGCATAGAAATATGCTGAGCTCTGTTGCTGGAAGTTGATCTCTCTCTGGTGTACCAGGTCTGCAAGACAAATCCAGGGAGAAGCAGCTGGAGAGAGCTGGAAAGCCAGCAGTTCAGCTAACAGTCACTGGTGCTGTGTTGCCTATCAGAAGACTCGAATGCTTCCTAGCAGGGCTCTCTCAGCTGTTCCTGTAAAGTTGTTAAGGTATTGCTATATGATAAGGTCTTTCTCAGATCTTCTGTTGCACAAATGCCTTTTCTGCTTTAGTTCAAGCATTGAGAACATGATTTAAACTTTATCTTAGATTCTCTGACAATGTTAAAATTCACTGGACTGGAAAATGTGCATTGTCTTTCCACAGTGAATTTAAATAATAACATCAGTGTATTCATCTGTGATGTTTTCTGTAGGAGTATGGATTTATTTTTTTTTTTTCTCCTTCTGCAGTTGAGCACTTTGAGTAAAAATAAAAGTACAGAGCAAATGCAGACATGTAGAAAAGAGAGCACACAGTTTCTATGGCAAAATAACCCTTTGCCATTATCTATTGGTGTAAATTGTGTTGTATATTAGTTTTCAATGAGAACTGAGCTCCAACTGGGATCAATCAGTATGACATTAACTAGTCACAGCTTCCTATGTACATAATGTCCATTTATGTTTTACACTCTCCAGCCATTATCTTGATGTAAAAGTAGACCTGTTTTTGTAGGGAACAGACTAAAATCTCATCTTTGTTGCCAATAGAGCTACAAATTGGCACTCCCTGCAAGCAAAGGCAGTGAAAACAAGTTAACATTTGGGTTTTGCACAGAAAAATCATGTTATTTCACACTTTGTTTACTAGCATCCTAGAAACAGTGATAGGAAGGGTAGAAATTTTTTAAAGTTTTCCCCTGTTAAAGTAAGACCTTTACACATAAGCTCAATAATTTTACCTCCTTTTCCTTAACAGCTGCAGGGAAACATTTATTATACTTCAGGTAAAGTTATTGTTGAAACGGAGATCATGTCGAAAGTCTACATTTTTAATGTTTTTTTGTACAAGGATGATGACAACTTGTTTGAATTTTTTCACTGGCAAATTCTTATGATCAAATTAAGAAGTACTTTCCACAGGTTAGTTGTGCTCATGTACATTTTCATACAAGTCTGACAGTAGAGATCCAGTCATAGGGTCTTTAATCTTCAGAGTTTCACATTTGCACTCTTCTACAATCATGATTTCTTTAACCACTGGAACAGAATCAGTGCAGTTGAGATCCAGGCGCTTCATGGAGAACTTGCTGGGCAAGCAGTGAGAACAAAAGGTATAAAGATGATCTTCTGAACCAGGAACATGAAAAGAACTACATTTTCCAAAACACAGATTATTCTGTATTGTCACCTTTTCACAGCTGTTATGAGTAACACCCTGAAACAGAAAGCAGTTTAATGTTTCTGATGCAGAAATGGCCCATGGACTTTGCTAGAAGGCATAAATGAAAAAAAAAAGGAAAAACAAAAAACAGTGCACTTTTTTCTTCTCAGAACAAACAGTACAGGTTTCTAGACAACATCTGTATGTATGTATGTCTGTGTGAAATAACTTTAGTTCTGGATGTGAAAGGACATGGTCCTTGACAGATTGTGATTACAGAAACACTGAGAATAGATGGTGATTTATGAGGAATGCAGCACTTTTACCTATACTGTTTGCTTGTCTTGATGTTACAATGTGAGAGAATGACATCATCTATGCATGGGACAATTTACCAGTTCTCCAAAATTCTCAGCACAGAATTAGACGTAAGCATCAGTTTTCTAATTAATACAGGAAAATCTTTGCTTAGCTGTAAGAAAACAACCAGCTTTTCCTGTAAATAACTTGTCCTGAGAGGCTGTATATGTGCGCGCACACACACACACACATGCACACACACACACACACACACGTGTTATCTATACATATATAGAGAGAGAAGATCATAATTCAAATCTACAAACAGTTGAGATGTATATTCATTAAATGGATAATTACTCATCATTTCCCTGCCTGCTTAGACTATGTCTGAATATCGATGCATAAAAATAATAAATAACTCAATAAAAATTGAGTCTATGGCTTTCCAGTGCTGCAATTTAGCAGTTTGCCTCATCAGACTAAAACTTTTTCATTAGCATCTTTCAGCCACTTATCATGAGCAAGTGTTCTGAAACCCTTTGACTAAGCCACTTGAATAACCCATGTCCCTTTAGTTGCTGATTACAAGAGACAGGGGAAAGGCCTGTTTGTTGATCTTGGATACTTGTTCTTACCTGGGCAAAAGGCAGGGTTCTGCAGTTTTCTTGGTGCATTTCATTGGTCTTGATTGGCAGAACAACCTCTTCAGATGCTGAATTTTTCATGAAATGTTCCCAGAATTTCTTGGCATCTTTTCTGTAGGAAAATTCAGACTCTCTCTTGCTGGAATAATGGGGTGGAGAGAAGTTTTCCACAGGAGGGATCTCTCTGGGTGCAACCCAGGTACTCGGATTTTGGTCTGCGTGGAGTTTCGCATTGGGAAGTATGAATCTGGACATTTTTTTCTCCTCTTTCTTCTCAATTCCAGATGCTGTCTGTGGAATTGATACAAAAAAGCTTGGTACTTTCAGTGTCTCTTCAACTCTTGGTGGGTTCTCACTTACCAGCTCAGGAGAACTTTGACTTTTAAACAGATTTTTGTCCAGATAGAGAAAGTGCTGAAATGGCCTTCTGCTTTTCCTTTGCTGTGAATTTCTCTGTAGCTCTGTGGCTCCAAGACATGAGAGCACGAACATTTGAAGGAAAAACAGCGACATGATCCTGGAAAGGGCAACCAAGTAGATCTGCTGCTATTGCAGTGCATGTAGTATGCTGGCTTTATACAAGAACCTACAGTCAGATTATAGCAGAGGAGAGGAGGGCTCAGGGGAGACCCTGGTGGGGTCTAATTGCATTCATTTACTGTAGATTACAATTATGATAGGGAAGTTTGTGCTAATGAAACTCTGCTTTCAATCTGAGTTATGTGTATTAGAAGCGCCTATCTAAAATCTAGTATCCCAGGATGTTGTGGAGGACAGAAGGAGTCAACAGGAGGAAATGTTTGGATAAGGTGTCTAGTTTAGGCTGAGGATTTAAGTAAACATTTGAGGTTGTGTATTAGAATGTTCAATGTGGTCTTCATTGTTTATTTTGACTTTCCATTCCATACAGCCAGAGACTGTCAAAACAGGGAGTGTTATTTCATTACAATAGGAAAAGGCAAGCTGATTAAAGTTTGCTGAAACAGTAAGCTCAATCTAGAGACTGTGTTTTTAAAAGTTAAGTCTAACTTGGACTTTCAGATTTGGGATATGACCCAAGGTGTGCTCGACTAACAGACTGCTGCTCAGACAGTCAGAAGAATCTGTCAGGAGGCACTAGCCCTTGTTTCATCTTCCTCACAGCAGGTTTGCAGCTGCTGGAGTGCAGACATGTCACCAGCACAGAGCAGAAGGTCTCAAATGAAGAAACTCTTCTTTCTGGGTTTTCAAAGATTATCTAACAGTGCCATATCCTGTTCAGGCACCAAAGCCACTCCAGGCATCCTATAAAGTGATAATAATGATAAAAGAACATTTAAGTAAAATGTGTTAAAAAAATACATTTATGATTCTGGCTATCAAAGTCTCAACAGCAATACCTAAAGACTACTATGCACCTTAAAACAGAGGCATCTCTTGCAAAATTTCTATGTTATGCGACATGTAAGAAAAAATAATCTGCTAGAACAGCACATAGAGAAAAGCTTTGGGAAAAGGAAAAGTTATTTTCAACAAATATTGCAAACAGTAATCCTAATATTAAAATACAAAAAAGAAATTCTGCTTCAGATAATTTGCCATTTAGGTACTCCAATCTCCACAAACTCCTGTTTCTGCAAAGTTTGTATTATTCTTGAAAAATTAAGTTGTGCTTACCAGATATATGATGTTACTTGACCTTAATTTCCAGGGAATTTATTTATTGCCTAGAACTGCAGTTTGAATCCTCATATCATTTCTGTGTTCACCAAAAAATTTGAACTGAAGCAGTTGACTTTTGTAACTAAAATACCTTGTATCTGATTTGTACTGGTAACAGTCACTCAAAAGTATTCAGCAATGACAAGAACATTAAATTTTGAGTTTTCCTTCTTTTTCTCTCTGTTTTAGTTGCTGAAGAGCCCCGAGACTATACATAGAATATTATACTATATTGTATTATGTTGATGCAGAGAATGTGGCACATTTGTCAATGCCTTTCAAACATGAAATTTGGCTGTCTGAAGCAAGATATACATTTGCAGGTCATCCAAGCATGTCTCTGATAATGCACAGATAAAAATTAAGTAAATTGTAGAACTGGAATGATTTGGCTTCCCACACTATCTAAACTAAGCTGGCCTGCGTTTTTCCTGCAGTGTAAAGGTATGTATAGAAGTCTTAGTATTGACATATATGTAGAGATGTTTTGGTAGATATCATATTGCAGTGCAATGGCAATGAAAAAAACCTCTTCGGGATCAGAATCCACTCCTGGTACATACCATTCTGTCCTGTAACATATAGCAAGAAGAAAGGCTTTTGAGGCCTTCAGATGTAAATGCACAAATTATTATTTACAGAAGAGTAGGAAAGAAGACTGAAGCAAAGCAGTGTCAACAAGTCACTCTGCAAGCTGTTCCACAACCCAAAGACTGCTTAAACAACTCTCTTCACTTCTAGGTCATGCCATTTCTAGTTCCTGATTCTAGATCTGATGAGACCCAAAGGCAGCACTCCAGCTTTGGTTCTGCCAACGAAGTCTAACACTGTTCCTTCATGCCTATAATAGTATGCTATGGCTGCTTTCTAAGAGGCAAAGTTGGTAAGATATGGAACATGATACATTTGGGTTTGTTCAATATCCAAATGCTGCTGTGATCTGTTTTGAAGTCAGCTGCCTATATAACTGTGCAGAAGTAGCAGGTCTCTCAGCCTCTCTGCTCAGGCTAGAGCCTGCCTGCATTACAGGAAGGTATCCCAGCTCAGACAGCAAGCTCAGATGGTCATTTTGAAGTTAAAAATAGCACACGTTTGGAAGTCTCTTTGTGGAGTCATCAACTGCATAGACTAGTAATTCACTACAGGGATTGGACTGGGCATATAATCATTAGTAATCCAAATATGCTCCTAATCTCAGTTTTCCACAAAAAAACCCCAAAAAACAAAAAAAAACCCCAACTGTTTCTTTTCTAAAAACTTGTTTTCCTGCCTGTTTACCCTTTCATATAAGCATAACACATTTTCACTGTACTCTAGTTGTTTAGTCTTATGGCTATATGCAGTAGTGTCTCTCAAGCAGGGTTTGGTTTGCCTTCATAGTAGCAATTTATTCAGGATATTCTGTTATCACTAGAAATAGCCACTGTGACTGTTTGCCCATCCTTTTAAAACTGTCAGGTCTATAGATGATCAGTGCTATGCAAATGCAAAGTGGGATATTATTCATTTCTTTCAAAGCTGGAGTTTATTCAGTCATTAATGGACATTATCTACACAGCCAGTTGATGCCTAAAAATAATTCTTGGGCACTGCTTGAATTACTTGCCTCCTGTTGAGCTAAATAGTCTCATCATACTGTGATTAATGGTATAAAATCATTAAAATGGATTTTATATATACAGTCCAATTCAATATCTTACAATTTTCAAAACACATGCTATGTAGACAAACTTGTATCCAGATTTATCTTTCACAGATCCCATATGAAGACCTGAGAACTAATGAATTATCACTATGCAGTTTATTCTCCAATAATTGTACTTATCAAAGAAGGCCATCTGTGGTCTTTATTTTACTGAGTTTCAGGGAAACAGATCACATACAGGCCTCATGGGAAATTTTTAATTATGAAACCAAGAGCCTTTTAACAAGGTATGAGATGAAAAAACAGTCAATAGTTTTGTTTAGTTTTGTACCTCCAACCTTAGTTACTCTATATCACAAACTCCCCTCTGTTTCAAGTCCTCTCTTGCACTGTTTTTTTCTTCACTCATTTATGTTTTCCTGTTTACATTTCTCTGTTTCTTTTCTGTGTTCTGGCAACAGAACAAAGAACAGCATTTAGTTTTATACTGCAGCCAAAATGAAGGTGCTCACACTTTAGAATGTTTTATTTATGTCTTCAGTGGGGCTAGGATGAGCATCCTTTCACATATATTGTCCCATGTTCTCCTGGCTGTAGGTACATTCACAGGATGTGATGGGTGCTTCTGTTTCTGAGCAGTACTGGCATATATGTACTGCCTAATTGATAGTGCATCCAATTACAGACCCAGCCTGAGGAGTTCTCTTGGACATGTAATTGATTGCTGCAGATTGCTTAGGCATGGGATGAGGAAGACACTGGAAAAACCTGTGGGACAGGGAAAAAGGAGTCTGGAAAAAGACACATTTCAGTCTTCAGTAAGATGCATCTTCTTAGGTGAATAATTTGAGAGAGAGAGAGGTTATTCACTGAAGAATTTGGCACCACCAACAAAATGTTTGTAATATAATCCAAGGAAGGTGCACATAAGATTAATTTTATTAAAATAAAAAAATATAGATTTATCTTAAAATTTTTTCTGTATGCATAAAATACTATTTTGTTCATTCTGATTATATGCAATACTTCAGATACCAGGTTCTTAATCACAGAATCGTTAGAGTTTAAAGGCACCTCTGGAGATCCAACCCCCCTGCCAAAGTAGGGTCACCTAGAGCAGGTGATACAGAAATGTGTCCAGGTGGATTTTGAGTGTCTCCAGAGAGGGAGATTCCTCAACCTCCCCAGGCAGCTATTCCAGTGCTCTGCCACCCTCAGTGTAAAGAAATTCTGCCTCTTGTTGAGGTAGAACTTCTTGTGCTTTAGTTTAGGGCTGTTGCTCCATATTCTGGTTTTGGGCACCACCAAAATGTTATCTGGCACCATCCTCCCGACACCCACCTTTGGGATGTTTCTATGCATTGATGAGATCCCCTCTCAGTCTTCCCCAGACCAAACAGGCCCAGCTCCCAGAGTCTCTCCTCACAAGAGAGAAGCTCCAGACCCCTGACCATCCTTGTGGCTCTCCACTGGACCCTCTCCAGCAGCTCCTTGTCTCTCTTGTGCTGAGGAGCCCAGAACTGGACACAGCACTCCAGGTGTGGCCTCACTGGGGCTGAGTAGATGGGGAGAGTCACCTCCCTCGACCTGCTGGCCACACTCTGCACCCCAGGATACCACTGGCCCTCCTGGCCACAGGGCCACTGATGGCTCATGGACAACTTGTGATCCACCAGGAGTCCCAGGTCCTTCTCCACAGAGCTGCTCTGCAGGAGGTCAGCCCCAGCCTGTGCTGGCACTTGGGGCTGTTCCTCCCCAGGAGCAGGACCTGACACTTGGCCTTGTTGAGCCTCATTAGGTTTCTCTCTGCCCAACCCTCCAGCTGATCAAGGTCCCAGGGAATGGCAGCAGAGCCTTCAGGTGGATCAGCCACTGCCCACAAATCTTTTTTTTTACATGCTTGGAGGTCACAGCCTCCAGAGTGATCTGTGCCATCAGCTTTCCAGGGATAGAGGTGAGGCTGACTGGCCAGCAGTTTCCTGGGTGCTCCTTGTTGCCCTTTTTGAAGATGGGAATGACACTGGCTTTCCTCCGGTCATAAGGCACCTCTCCTCTATTATTTTTCTAAGAAGATGCAGAGTGGGCTTAGCAACAACATCTGCCAGCTCCCTCAGCACATGTGTATGCTTCCCATCAGGGCCCATGGATTTATGGCTTTGTCTGCCTAGCCGATCTCTAACCAAACCCTCAATGGCCAAGGGCAAGTCTTCCAGCCTTTCTCTCTTGCCTCCAGGGTTTGGGATTCCTGAAAGATGTCCTCAGCAGTTAAGTCTGAGGTGAAGAATGACTTCAGTTACTCTGCCTTCTCTGTATCTTTTATCACCAGGATAGGCTTTCTATATAGCCTCTATCTTTTTCCACATTTCATAAATTTCTTCTGTTTGATAGAAGCTCTCTGCTCATCCCTGTAGGTCTCCTGCCCGTTTTGTTTAATTTCTTGCTCATGGGAATACATTGGTCTTGAGCTTTGAGGACTGCTGGATATTGACCAGCTCTCCTGGACTCCCTTGTCTTCTGTACCTCTAAGCCATGGAATTCCTCTAATTAGGTGCTGTTGATTCGGGCTACTTCTGATGAAAATAATGCATTACCTCAATGCCATTAAAAAAGCCTTAACTAGAGCCTGTTTTGTTCCTGTTATTTGAGTACAATGATATCAAGAACTAGAGTCCAGATAGTTTCTTAAAGGGTAACACGAGAGGAAAACTTATTTTGAAGATGACTGAGGTTTCTGAGGGACAGTGACTTTTTTCACATTCTTCTTTAAATCAAGAATCATATTAAAATTCATTTTTATAGACTGACAGTCTTGCTTGAATTCATTCTTGTTGTATATCTGCTTGCAGACCTATAACTTTTCTTAGATTTATTTTTCAAAATAAACAGCATTTTCTCTTTTATATGTACTCATGGTACAAATGTCCTTATAGTATTCACTCAAGAATAGCCTCAAACAGAAGAAAAAACTGAATTCAGAAGCTGCATAGAGTAAACAGCAGGTATATTAACTTAAGTGCATTTATACTATGTTAAACACTTGAGTAATTATCACTAGAAAACAAGCTTTTGTGAGATTTTGAAATTAAGAAATTCATATTCACCGAAGTATATATTGGAGGTTTTTATTACCATACATTACAGAGTTAAACATGACAATATATATAGTGTTCTGAATAGAAGACTTACAGCAGCACCAATCTTGAGATGTAAATATTGCTGAATCACTAGTATTCACTGAATCTTACGCATAATTATATCAAAGTTATTTTTATCATTTGAATGAATAAAGACTTTAATAAATTCAGGATTCAATAAAGTATCCATGTGTAGAAAGAAGATCTGGAAAAATGTTTTGATATTTTTCAGACTAAATACTTGATATATATACACATATATATATGAAGCTAGTGAAAACTCAAATGTTTTAGAATATTTTGGTTTAGAATAAGTGCTCCTGTGACCTGTTGCCTATCCATTTTCTTCATAAACATTGGCTTTGAGTTAAGTACCTCCCTGTCAAGTTTTTTTTAAATATTGACATATTTAAAAGATACTTGACAGGGAGGAGTGAAAGTGGTTAAAAGTGACAAGCACACACAATGCTTACAGAGCCCATGCCTGAATAGAAATCTAAGGTAACTCCTAGGTTCTTTTCACTGAGCATCTTGATTCTGTTGCTCTTGGGTATGGATAGTTCTGGTGAAATAAATCCTTTGTTTATCCAGAAAGTGTGGCATCCGTATGTGAACACCAGAATTTACATGCTCCTTTTCCTTGCTTTCAGCCATTTGAAATACTCCTGGTGATGCTGATCCTCTAAATACTGATTTTTCCTGGAGTTTACTCAGAGTCTAATTAAAAAATGCTGAAGATGAAAAGATCCCCAAAGCTTCTCCTACAGTCCTACAGATAGACCTACAGTCTATCCATTACTAAACTCCTTAGAAGCAATAATATCCTATGCCAACAGAAAAAAAAATAATTATTTGTGCTTTCCGTGATTTGTTTTGTTCTCTGAACTCCAGTATTCAAATAATAAAAATAAAAGATGTAAAGATCTGTGGAAAAATACTTATTTAAAGACAGAAAAAATAAAATTTATTAATTAAATGTTTGGAAGAGTTACTTGTATTGGAAAAAAATTCAGCAGCCTTTCAGGGCAGAAATATATTTGCTCTGTAATATAAGAATTTTAATTTCATTAGTGTACTGTGTTAGATATAATTAAATCAGTAAACTCATGCAGTTTGCACAACTAAGAATCTTTTGTGTAGTGAAATCTTCATACTCTGCATGCACTTTAAAGTAGTTCAAATGAAGTTCAGAAAAGGGAAGATTTCCCCTACTCTCACAAAAGCAAACCTGAGGTCACTGTTGTGTCAGGTGACAGAAGTCATTTATTAGTTACTGATCAAGTTTATTAGTTACTGATCAAGCACCTTTGCAGAATCCTCACTCTGATGATATAATTCATTTATTATATAATTGGGAGAGGTATTTGAATTATCTCAATAGGCTTTATCAAATTAGCACCAATAAATTCTACAGCTTTCATTTAAAAAAGTCCTAAAGAAATAAAGTTTATATTTTTGTCTAAGTCAATTTTCCCTGGCATTCCAGAACATACCACTAAGAGATATTGAGAGTGCTTTTTAGACACTTATTTTTTTCTGTAACAAAACCTTTCAGAAATAAAAACAGATGTAAAACCAGATATTTAGAAGTAGTTGTTTTGGAGACAAACTCCTTAAACAAAAGAATTTCTGACTAGAAATGTCTAGAAACTTGTCATAAATATTACCATTAAAAAAAAAATCCTGGAAATCCTTTTGTCTGCATCTGTTGATAACAAAAAAAAAAAAAAAAAAAAAAAAAGAAAGCGGTGAGGAGGTTCTCTCACCGAGTATGTTTTTTTCTCCAATTCTGTGATGCACTCATACTTATTGGCAACAGTCCTTTCAGGAAGGTTCTCTCCTATACACAAAGACTGTTCAGACTGTTCAGCTGCTGACATTTTGATTTGACTTGTCACAGGCAAGAAGGAAAGATAAGTCACCAAGCATGACAGAGGCAAATATATAACCCCTGAAACAGTGTCCATTTCAGAAAGGAGAGGTGATTCTGCTCTGTCCCTTGCAAGACTGAGAAATTGCTATGAGGAACCCAAGAAGGAGGTTTTGCAGCTCTGTTGCAAAACTGATCCAGCGGCTGGCTGAATAGACGAGCAAAGGGGGGATGAACTGCTGGCAGCAGGCAGGCAGATGGGAAGGATGAGAGTTCATAGGTACAGGGCAAACTCACCCTACTCACTTGCAAACCAACTGTCACACAGTGACTCCTGTTGAGAGGAGCTTTAATTTATTTTTTTTAGGAAGCCTATGCTTGGATCCTCATTTTATGTTTGGTTTTGGTTTTGGGTTTGTTGGGTTTTTTTTGTTTGTTTGTTTGTTTTGTTTGGTTGGTTTGTGTTTTTTGTAATTTTAAGGCTGGCAGTAAAATGTCTCAAAGCAAGCTTTTGACAGGTAAAATATAAATCTACTATACTGTTACAAAATAGTTATAGTGCAACTATATTTATCTGACATAATAAGTTCTGGCCAGCTGTTTTTTTTTCTATTAATTGCTGGGTTTTAAGCCTTTCTCAGAAATAAATGTGGATTTTTAAATATTATTTTTAAAAGCCTCAAATCCCTAATAAGGACTTAGATTAATACTTTTCCAAAGCCATAGCTGCTTTACTACAAAATATGTCTCACGATTACATTGGTTTATACACACATATAAATCCTATTGATGTTCATGTATCAGTGAATATCCCCAGATAATATCCTAGGATTAAGTTTACATGTTTTTTTTAAATAAATCATCATTTGCTATAGCATTTGATTTAGAGATGTCCCATTATTTAATTACACTAAAAATTACAGCACCATCCTGCAGTTCTGGGGGAAAAAAAAAAAAAAAAATTAGAAAAAAATTCCTTAGGAATGGGAAACAGATGCAACTCTGTGTGGGCAGACCCATTAGGTTCTGAAGCTGGCCTTAGGAGGTAGAAGGTAAATACAAGGCTTTGCTCCTGTTAGTACTCTGTCACCAGGCAATGTCCAGCTATTTGGACCTTTGTAAGATGTACTAGTGCATCATCAAAGAAACTCCAGTACTCACATGATGTCACTCCCATTATCACCCCAGAATGTCTGTTTTTAAACAGCTGTTTACCCTCATTTTCAATCCCAACAGTATATCCTCTTTTTGTGACGGCAGAGTAAAACTGCAGTTCACAACCCTTCCTTTAAGAGCAAAGCAAGTCAACTGACATGGTACTTTCTTTAAAAGAAAAGTACTATTACACAGAAGTGTGATGAAAGACTTGAGACTCTGGTATAAAGATACGTATGAGTAAGTGACAGATCAAAGTCTTTGGGGAGATTTCAAAACCTTAACCTGAGATTAATTTTTGCAGCTGATCTCTGTACCTTGGTTAGGTATATATATATAAACATCTGCACCTCTGACAGCATATAAAACAAGCCTTGCTGATAACTAGAAAGGTTTTGTAATGCACCTAACATACTGAAATAGCATGAATGTCCATATGCTTTCAGTGGCATCCTCCATCCATTACAACTTTCTTGAACATATATAGCTGTTTGGTTTGACCTTCTTGCAGTCAGTTGCCTGCCATTTTCCTTGCTTCTGCACAAATACACAATTTCTTCCATTCACTGGAAAGTGGTGGGAGCTTCTTCTCCAGTTCATGTAGCTTACAGGTTCTCCTCCATTCCACTCCCAATGTCCAGGGTTGACTTGGTCATTCAAACCTGTGTGAAATCAGTAAGACCAAATCAGTGATGTTTATTGTCATTGGAGCCAGATGTCAAGAGAGTCATGTTGTTCTATAAGTTGCTCTAAATTAAAAAATGCATACAATTGCATGCTGAGAGAGAAAGAAAACATCTGGTAGAACACAAGCAAAACACAATTTATGATTTAATTAGTCCACTTTAATCACAGTTAGCGCCATATGAATAAAGGAAAGTACACTTTTCTTCAATAGCATATATCTAAAATGTTTGTTTCTCCTTTCATCTATTATGCGTCTATCACCTCATAGGTTTCTCTTTGGATACTTGAAATAGCAAGGAGTCTGGACAGCATCAGATGCCTTCAGATTTCTTCTGAATATAAAATTCTGCAGATCTTTGTGGACTGGGTTTACACTGTTTAAATTAACAGCTGTAAAATTAGCTTGTGTTAATTAGTACATTATAAATCATATCTTTTCCCCTAGCCTCCTCAAAGTTACTATCCTTCTAGCCTCCTTAGAGTTACTAAGATCAGTATGTGTTGCATATAATTTCATACATGACCTGTCATCTTAGGAGGGACCAAAATAAGGAAATTTGCATTAAGAATCTTGTAGTCTTTATCTTTGTCAAACAAGCTTATTTCTTTCAAGTTAGCAGAATTATGATACCATTAAACATGATCCAAAACTAACTGTGTTTTTTGAAGTTAATTTAGTTTTCCTAGTCCATCTCAGAAAATGACTAACACCTGATAATTGCAGTTCAGAATCAAAGAAAAAGAGCCAAATTGAAGACAGTATAGCAGAAACAAGAAGGGTTAGATAAAAGCGGTAGCTCTAGTATATGAACTAAGACAGTCATTCACAGAAAGGAGGTACTAAGAAGACCCATGCAAATTCTTTGCATTTGTCATTAAATGTAAAGTGCCTAATAAATCTAAAATTATATGATTAAATGTTCTTTAGCTTATCATCTAATTAATTAACAAGATTTCTTACACCATTAAATTAGAAGTAACAAATAATTATTTAAGTTAAAACAAAACAAAAGAAAAAGCTAAATTATGGATAAATAAAATAACAGTCAAAAGAAAGATGAGAGGAAACAAATTTGAAGGAGCTGCACCAGAACTATTTTCACAAGCTTGTGCCAAAATAGGAAGGGTTTCAAGATAAAAACAGTCCAATAGACATCATGATAAACTCATCTTTTTGATAAAGACTTATAAAAGTAGCCAGCTAAATTATGACTTTTGGTTTATGCTTTGCACTGAAATAATAAAAGCAGCAGAATTTGAGGACAGTACATTGTTTGAAAACTAGGCTTGAACTGCTGCAGCATTTGTGCTTTTCAATACATACAGGAACTGCAGCCTGCAGTGGGGACTTGCAGACAATATACTTACCTATCCAAAAGGGCCTCCTCCCACTGAAGTCCCACAGCCACCGCATATGTTGTTCATTAGCCACACTTGTTAGACTCCCCAGGTATCTAGGCTCAGCGAGAGAGGACAGAGTAGTTAGCATTCCACAGAGTGACAGACTGCTCCCATCAACTTATCAACAATGGATGTTGATTCTATTATAAAGCATATAAATAATGAGTCACAGGAAAACCACAACTTACTGGCATGAAGGAATAATTAAGATTGACCTTAAGATGAGGTCATAAAATTGTGGATTACATGGGGATGAACCAAAGTCCTAGTCTGATTTTTCTAACAGAAAAAATAAGTCAGCTGGGCAACTGAAGGAAATGTGTACAGAAAATATGTGCCTCATACTCATAAACCGTGTTTTAAACTATTGGTACAATACTTTATACCTTATTTTCCATGAAATAATAAACTTCCTCCACTGAAATCCAAGCCACTGAAAGATACAACTTCACCTATTTGGTAGTAGAGCAGGAGATATCTTTTTAAAATCGTATTTTGACAATACTGAAGCTTTGGGTAATACATTTAAGTGGTAATGTGGTTTTGAGAAGTAATCATAGAATGCCCTGAGGAGGAAAGGATGCACAAAGATCATCAAACTAACTATTGGCCCTGCACAGGGCAGCCCCAAGAATCACAAAATGAGCCTGAGAGCACTGTCCAAATGCTTCTTGAACTCTATCAGTTTGGTGCTGTGACCATTTCCCTGGGGAGGCTGTTCCAGTGTCTGAGCACCATCTGATATAAATCTCCCCTGTAACACACGTTCTCTAAAATCAACACTCAGGCTGTTACATCAATCACCCCCTCCACCACCCCCATTTCCTTCCTCTCCTGCTATCTCAGCCCTTTCTTTGTTTGCATTTTCATCCTCTTCAAAATTTTGGGTTTCAGCTGAGGCATTCTGGTTCTCCATCCTGTGAACCTGCACACAGTAAATGCAGGTATCCCATGGGTTCCCCCTGTTGTTCGTCACAAGAAATTTGGTATCTGAAAAGACTCTGAAAAAGCAGTGCATTTTTTAGAGGGCTGTCTGCAGTGACCACACATTTAGTTCAGATTGGAGAGAAGCTGTGGTTTGTATTAAGCAGACTATTTGTGAACTAAGTCAACGCATAAGCCCTGCTCTGTGTGTGTATTTACAGTGTGCCTGTTCCAAAGGAGAGTTTGCAAACCCTAGCCACTGAGTGGCCTTGCCACTGACAAGTCTTCCAACGAGTACCAAACATACAAGCAGCAGCTACTCTTAAGGCTACTCTTAAGTCATGTAGAGATCAGGCTAAATCTTTAGACATTAAGGGACATATGTCATTCTTCACATTTGCTGGGAACTGTCAGCCATCAGTGGCTCCACTTTCTTATTTATCCATCTTGGTGTCTGCGTTGATATCATATCACCTTTTTACATGTCACAGCTGGTGTTGCCATCCCTCTGATGCTGAGCCTCTGGTGCTGACATTTCTTTTGTCCCATATTTCTGATTGCTGCTCAGTCTAAAAGTCATGCCAACCCCTTCAGCCTCCCAGAATATCCTGGGTGACAGTTGATAGGGCCAGAGCAATAAACACTGCTCATAAAAACATTTTAAGAGAGCAAAAAATGTTTCTAACATCAGAATAAGTAAATGGTACTGTAAGGATTTCGTTAATTTTATTACTTTTGCTAGATAACAGAGACAAGAGATCACTATTGCCCCAGATGAAGTGATGACTGTTAAGACCTGGGGCAACAACCAGGCCTGAAGAATGGCATAGCCAATTTGAGCTAACTATGGAGACCATGAACAGATATTAGAGTGAAAGCCCACCATTAAGCCTGCTCCCTAATTAGAGATCCATGCCTGGAGCTCCATTCCTTTTGTTGCCCTGTATGTCTTCTAAGAGTACTGATCCCATGGATTCCATATGATGCCACACAAGATACGGAAGCAGGAAAGATATAAATGAGGAGAAGTTCAAAGCAGTAATCCACAATATTCTGCACAGTCCTTACTGCATGAAATCTGGACTATTCCTTAATCTAGGCCCACAAGGTCAGGATATGAAATAAATTCATTGTGTTTCTGAGGGGGGATGCTCCTGCTGCAAAGTCCTCCTCCATTATCCCTGCAGGCCAACCAAAGCAGCAGGGGTTGGAGTTGCCCTCTGCTCCATGCTGCATGGTGGATCTGCCAAGGCCAGCAGGACAGCCAGGGGTTAGCCCTCACCCTGCAATCACAGGTGCCCTGGGGCAAGCACTGTGCAGTAAGGTGGGACTCATCAGGGGCTCTCTGAGCTCCCGGGCCACCAGAACCCACATGCATTCTTGCATGTAAGATCACACTGACATACAGATGTACACTCTCCTCACCTAGAGGTGTGGCAGAATAGCCTCAGCACTGTCTGGTCAGGGTCAGGATTGTGCACCCACTGTGGTAGAGGCCCCCAAATCTGCACCCTGTGAAGGTGTTAGCAGGGCTTCTGCTGTGCCTCTCATCACGGTGAGACATGCCTGTATGTCCCAAGGGTGACAGGCTTCCACCCTTCTGGGCAGATCTGCCAGACACAGACTCTCCGGTAAGCTAGGAGCAAAGCTGTTACACTGACAAACACTGCCTGGAAGTTTCGTACTCCACCACCTTCTACAGACAAGGAAAGCAAGCATAGTTAATTCAGGATGTTCTCCCAGGCTAACTGCTTCAGCAGCAGCCTTCCATTCTGCCTCACAGTGACTGTGATTGCACTGACCCAGTGGACCTGAGAAGAGGTTTGTGCAGCAGTTTCTGTGGTATCACTACCAGGTGAGCAAGAACAAAAATGGAGCATTTTATCTGGCTTCTGTTTAAGGACACTCAAAACCCAGGAACTAAGTAATTTACTTTAGGTGAGCATATCTTACTTCTGACTGTCCTAGAAAATGTGAAACCAAAAAGCATCAGTGTGTGTCATCACAGCATCAGCAAATGCTCTATCATTTATGACATACAGGTATAGTCTGAGCAATAACAGTTTCGGACTTCAATCCATGTACCAGGGAGAAACTTCATTGCTGTGAAAGGAAAGCACTGCAATAATTTTGTTGCAGTTTAATGTTTTCTCTGTAGGAGTGCTTACTAAGTACAGCTCAAGAAACACAGTACTGAAGAGAGAACAACTGTTCTAATTGTTACACCTAGTTAGGGGGATTATGTGTTTCACGGAAATGAGAAGCATCCTGAAAGAACACAGCACTTCCATAGTGCTACTCACTGAACCTCGAGGCATAGCATCAGACACCGGAAATTACTAGATAAGGTTATTTATGGAGTTGTGTGCTTCTAACACTCCCTAATGTAAATTAGTCAAGATAAGAGGTTATAATTCCTTATTAGGGAAAGAAACAAAAAAAACCCCAAAAGCAGACAAACAGTAACCAAAAGAAGCTACAATAAACCCACACACATCACTTTTTTCTGGGCTAAACCATCCATTTAAAATTGTTCCTGCATACTTTATGATTTTTCTTATTTAGTCAAGAGCATACTTTATCTTAGAGCAGTTGCACTAAATTAAGGAAACAATTTGGGTAGCTTTTGACCTTGAAGTATTATATGGAAAGTACTTAGCACAAAGACTTTACTGATTTTCCATTAAATTGTGTGATACATTTCAGAGTCTTGTACCATTTTGGTAAATTTAAGACTGGCAAAAACAACTTGACTAAGTATAAAGGTGTCTATGGGATTTTATTTGAACTGCTGTAGTAAATCTGTGTCCTATACTGATGCTGAAGGGGGTGGTGGGGGTGGTGACTGAAAGACTGTGCTTATATCAGCCTTTTGTTTGGTCACCTAAGGAGCTATGTGATACCTTGAAATAGGTTTCTAGTATATCAACACCTCATGTAATTCAGTACATTCAGATGAGAGTGGCAGACATGATGCAGTGCTTGCAGAAGCCCTGCACTTCCAGACTAGCAGCTGAAAGTCAGACAGCGTAAACAAGGCCTTTAAAATGACTCTAGGTACCGGGATCCTCTGCTGGAGTAACACACAATGAGTTAAACCATATTTGTTAGTGAACCAGTACTGGGAGAAGAGGGCTGCTGTCCTGCTTTGCACCAGGGAACACTGAACCATTATGAAGAATCTAATATATTACTTTAGATGTGGTTCTGCCTGTGATTCCCAAGGACTGAGGCCACATGTAACTGATACAGAACCATCAAACAAAATAACACGTCCTGCCTTACACAGCTAGCAGTAAACAACCTGAAATCTAATCATATTTTAGCTTTAATTAAATATTCAACTTCAAAAAAGATAAAGGTAGATATGACTAACAAGGCAAAAAACACAACTGTGGGTTCTATATATCCAGTTCTTCCATCCCTTCAGTGGCAGAAGTGAAACCATCTCACATACGAGTGAGCCCTGCTGTACTGACCCTTGGGGAGGACATGTTCCTGTTGGATAAACAAGAGCTGTGGCATAAATCATCAAAATTGCTTCTAAATCAGGCTGCTGTGGGATCACTCAGCCGTAATATCCCCCAGATGCTTCTCTTCACGTTGCCAAGAGCCTCTTCATGCATAAAAACAAAGCTAGAAAAATGAGTTCTTAAACCACCTTTCTCTCCGATGAATTGGAGAAGGGTTAGAAGTAGTGCAAGATTTTCACAGCAATTAACTGAGATTTCCCTGTCCACCTCCCCCATCTCCAGTTTAACACTGACGCACAGAAACTTGCACCAAGACAAGCACATATTTTTGTCTGCTTCTACCCCTGTACATGGGAACTGAAGAAAAGCATTGTATTCCACCTCTAACAGATGGATACAATATATGTCAACAGGAACTCCAATAGGCTTGCATTAGCCCGTGCATATGTAGTTACGTCCAGACAACAACTGCTTCCACAATAAACTGGTAGCATGACTTTGATGGAATAGAATCACAGACTATCAGGTTGGAAGGAACTTCAAGGATCATCTGATTCCAACCTTTCTTGGCAAAAGGACAGTCCACATGAGATGGACCAGCAATCTGACTAGGTGAACCTTAAAAGCATCTGATGTTGGGGAATCTCCCTGGGGAGAGTCTTCTAAAGGCTGATCTCACAGTGAAAAGAAAATTTCCTTGTATGTAATTGGAATCTTCCCAGGAGTAACTTGTTCCCGTGGCTATTCATCTTTTCTATGTGACTCCTTGTAAAAAGAGTCACCATCTTCTGCTTTGCTACCCTCTAAATACTGAAATTTGGTTATAAGGGTTCCCCTATGCCTTCTTTCTTCACATGGCAGGCTTTACTGTCCTTTGATCATCTTTGTGGCCCTTCTTCAGACACTTTTCAGCCTGCCTGCTGCTGTATAGTTTTTGTATAGCCTACTCCCAAGTCCATCACATCAGGATAGCGAGGTTGTCTCAAAAAGGGACGAAACTTGCAGACTGTTAGTGAATCAACTTTCACAATGCTTGGGGTCTTTTCCCTGTTCTGTATAACAGAAAAATTCTAGCAAGACAAACGAACAGGGGCTTAAAATTATGTCATTTTTGTAGTAATAAATTATTATTCTTTTTTTCATGGAAGTTGGCTGGTTTACTGAAAGTCAATTCAAATATTTTCATTTAATATCTAGTTTGTTGATCTATTGACAATTGAGGACCTACCTCCATGGTAGTTTTATTTCCCTGTTGTAAACATTTAAACATCAATAGAATCAGTATTAATAATTGAAACACTGCAGTTATTGGTGGTGATGATTGCTGGAGGAGCTGGGGAAAAGCACAAGATAAAATGTAATAAGTTACGTTCTTGTACCACATTTCAGTGTGTTCCTGGAGCTGTACTTTTGTAAATCAGTTCCAGATGGAGGCAAGGAGTACTCCATTTACTGCAATAAATCTTCCTTAGTCCATGCTAGTATGACATTAATTGAATTAGCACTGCCCTAGGACTCATTTCCTTGTGGATTCAGTGATACGCCTTGATTTTTAACACTATCATTTAGCTACTGTTGTTTACATTTATCTGCTTTTATTCAGGTGAATACCTATATTGCACACTATAGCCTTCATCGAGAAGCTACCACTTACAAAAAATATGGGTCACAAAGATCACACTTTTTAGAAGATAGGAAACACCTCCTGGTAGAGTGACATATGGTTCCAAGAGATCAATTCAGTGTTAAAGCCTTCAGAAAAAAAATAAAATATTCACAATTCATAGCTTTGTTTGCTAATAAGTAGCATAATAAAAGCAGATAATAACAAACAATTTCAGGAGCTGAAATTGTAAGTAAACCAAGTGATAACATAATATTTGGGGTGAACTCACAGGAGCACATAACATTTACATTTTAGTAAAGGCTATCTTCCATCAGTTGGGAGCTAGTAGTATCAAGACTTTTCTTTTGCATGTTACCAAGACAACATAATCTGGCATAACTGAGTGGAATGAATCAATGCTTGTTATGCATGCTTGCCCATGATTCACGATTCGGCATGTCCTTCCACTACTTACAGAACATACTCTGTTTCTAAAATTTCCAGCTCTTCCCTGCTTCAATTTTCCTTTGGTGTAATGGAGAGGTCTGGAGTAATGTAGAGGTTTGTTTAAGCCCTTCCCGTTTTTCAGATTGGTTTTCAGCCTGGTGCTCACAATTCCAGACAAGGTACAGAGCATGGCTGTCCTTGGACAAGCTTCATGTTACCATTGCTAACATTTTTTTCCAGTGCTAACCTAATACCCCTACAGCCAAAGTCTCAAAGCAAGTGTCCAGAAAACAAGACTGGCAGGTTTTTTATCTCCTACTTTGAGACAACTGATTTTATTATTATTGTTGTTGTTGTTATATCCTTAAACAGTCAGAAATGCACTGTTAAATTGAATATAAAAGTTTTCAAGTAGTTACAGAATCTTCAAAGCTGCATCTTCAGAAGAATACAGTGAGGCACACAGGAGCTGACGATATTTTACCACAGCTATATCAAGAGGGGGTAGTGTCAAGGAAGTGGTGGGTAAGAGAGGATGAAATTCTGAGTCTCTCCTGACTCTGAGTTTTTCTTCTCCCAAACTAACTCTCCTATTAGGAAAGTGTCCTCACTGCAGAGGGACAGCTTTAGGAATTCATGCTGTGATTAAGATAGCATCACCACCTGAAACATTATGAGACTAACATTTCTATTGTCCACTGTGTTTGAATCTCAGGATTCATTCAATTTTTTGGGGGAGCTGTGCAGAGCAGCCAGAGCTGGGCTTATCCAAATAAATTTGGCCTCAAGAGCAGCATTCAGCTCAGGGCAACAGCAGTGCACAGCAAATGCATGATGGTCTCTTACTGTTCTCTGCAAGCCTGAGCAGCAGTGTTCCAGGTGACCTTGTGATTCACCACCAGGAAGTAGCAGCTGTCCTCATGATAAGTCCATCCAGAGGGACATTTCTTCATAGTTACCTCCTAAAATAAAAGAGGAAGAGGTAAAAGAGACTTCTTTCTGTGCACAGATAGTCTGTGCAATAGTTCATGCAAACCAAGCATGAACTTTGGCGTCTATAAATAAAGCTACAGTATTGCTTAAACGAGTTAAATAAATAATGCGTGACAGAGGATCCTAAGATTTATAATTAGTAGCTCTAATGGTGATAGTAGTATTCAGGTCAAAAAATCCTCTAAACATTTTATATTAGTTTGGACACCATTTTCTGTCTCCTGTAATCTGTACTGAGAAAGCAGTGTGACAAAATTCAGCATGACATCTTAAATGGTGGGGGGGAATGTATGTTTACAGAATACCTAAGAAAGCTTATTTTACTCAATTCCACCTGTTCTCCCCACAGACTTCATTCACTGACTGTGTTATGCCCACATTGTCACAAGCCCCAAGTCACTAGTGCTCATGTGGTTTGTCCAGGAGCACTGTGGATGACAGAGACGGAAGACAATGGCAGCATTGAAGTCCTCATCATATTCCGGGAAACTTTTGTTTCTGCTGGAAGCAAACCTGAATCTGGATAACATTTATTCCCTGTTTGAGTAAATAATAGTTACAGGAAGGTCATCTGCTTTAGGGTATCCCCAGTCCTAAATTCCATGCTCTAATGTAGACACCTATACATGGCTACATTTTTATATGCTTTGGGAATTCCAGAATTTCCATGTTATCCCATCAGACTGAAATAACTTCTTTGTGCTTTCTTCATAATGCAAGAGACCCTTTAAATCTGGTGTACAAGCCTTTTGAAAAGAGTAAAAGTGCTGGAATGAGAAAATGTCATTTGAACATTTGAAGGAAAATAATTACACAGAACAAGTGAAATGAAACAGATTAATTAGGTCTTATATTAGAATTTTACGCCATGAAAACTCTTCTAGGTGTTAAATAATTTTGGAAAACAGCACGACTGAAAACAGATGGTAAAAATGCCCATGGATAAAAAGGTTTCATACCTTATGTCTTGATCTTGGTTGAACTGCAAGTTCTGCCTTATCAGCCTGTGGGATTTCTGTTTTCCTAAAGGAGATGACATTTATCTGTGGTTGTGCCTTCTTGTTGGTTTCAGCGAAGGAGGTGTCTTCCTCTGTTTTGAGTGATACAATCCCATGATACTTTATTTTGCAGTATCAACACACACACAAGAACAGGAGAGGAAAAGAGAGGGTTAGTGCATACAAGCAGCTCTTAAATAAACTAAATAAGCAAATAATAAAAATTAATTATTATAAAAATTATTGTAAATCAAGGGAAATTACACCAAAATAAAATAAAGATACATAGAAAAATTAAATATTGGACATAGCAAATTATTAAGAGCTATAAAACCTGGAAAGACCAGAATCAGAAAGAAATAATGGAAATGTCCAACCAATACCCATAATACTCTTACTTTGAAAACCACATCTGTTTCATTTCTAAATACAGATGAAGGCTGAACCTGAAAAATATAGAACAGCAGAATGAGATGGGTATATTCATGCATCATAGAAACAAGAAGACTTTATGAAATATTTACTACTAGGTTATACATCATGCAGAGCATGTCTTGGGTTTAGTTCTTTCTCTTTTACTATAGAAACATATAATTTCTGAAAGGAGCTATTAAAAAGCACAAAGTGTACCATCCAGTGTGTAACATTTAATGTTCATAAAAACAGATTCCAGTAACTTTTACGGTCACAATAGCAAAAAGTTACTAAATACCTAGCTAAATCAATATAGCTTAAGCAGGAGAATCAGTGGGCAAGGTTTAAATACATATTCCTTGTTTAAGCTAACAGTATTTTCAGCTTTATAACTTCAGTACCAGATGAACAGCTTCTATACATTTGCCTGGCTCCAACAACTTCTAACTTACCCATAGCTTTTATAAGATTAGAATTTTCATAATTGCTGAAGTTGCTTCATGCCTGTTTCCTCCCCCAAGTCTTGATTTTATTCCTGTCTTGAATACATGGATCCTCAAAATCAGCTTGGTTTGTTTTTGGCTTTTTCTTACAGTTTTTTTTAAATAGCCCCCAGGTCTGACTCAGAGCAAACTCATGTAGTTACTATGTGGTCAGATAGAATTGCTACAAAAATGGCAGTTAAATGAAGATATCACATCACAATAAACTCACTTATCAGTCCATCACTGAACTAGAGAAGTTTCTTACTATTCTGCCATTTCCAGTTACTCTCAGCCTGGTCCTTGACCGATTCGCCAGGCTGCGCTCCTGCTGCAGGTCCCCTCCGTGCTCTCTCATCCCTTTGGAGGGAGGCAGTGGGATCCCTTCCAAGGAAACACTGCCAGGCCTGGAAGGTGATGAGGAGCCCAAGGAAACTGGAAACAGTGTGCCTCTCCCCCAGACGTCATGCTTGCTTTGGCCAGAAGAACGGGAATAGCTGCATTGACCTGAAAGCATAAAAAATGGCAGATGGTCAGTTCTAACTGCATGAGCAGAAAACTGGTTGTGTTGACATGGGCACATAAACAGCTTGTCCTTGAAAGCTGGATGATTCTTTCACTTGAAGTAGTTGATTTGCTGTTTGTTCAGTCACCCTTGTTTCTGGGGTTATCTTTAACTATAACTGCAACTAGTACCTATATAAGATTTTATATGTGATGCATCTGTCTACCCACAGGTCAGAATTTCAACCAAGCATCTGCTGAAAATACCTGGTTTTATGCTTATATTGGGCTTTGAAGTGCTGGGGGTTTTGGCCATGAATATACAGGTATCTTTAACTACCACAGATGGCACTTCATGCCCAGAGAAAATTATTCTTGTATATCCAGGACACTGTTGTTTCAATGAGATCATTACATCAATTAAGACCTGATTTACACTAGGAATGTTTAGGAGAGAACAAATCTGAAATTTTAAAGGGACTTTTTTTAACATGAAGCCTAATTCATTGCAACATGGATATTTTAAATGTTGTTTCACTAAACACCAGAAGAAAAAACACTCTTCAGAGGCCAAAGGATGCAGCTGCTTTTCTAGTTATTTCTACAGTTTTCTTATGTTTCTGTTTCTACAGTTGCCTCCTTTTTGATCTGATTTTAGGCACACCACATTTCATCACTGAAAAACACAACACTTCAGAGACTAAACTCTTTGCTGTGAAGTTGTAGACTGTAGTTTTCAAGCATTGGAAAATATATTGCTAAGACATGGGTTAATTTGTTATGTTCCTTTTTTTGAGAGGATAGTAAATCTCTTTTAGAGGTTGTGTAACAACTAAATTATAACTGGAAAAAAATTCTCATGGATCTAAAACCAATTTTTCCCACTTTAATAAATGAGAACTGAACTCATGTTATGAAAAGTAATTTCTTTCCTGGCACTTTCCTCATTTTGTACTTGTTGCTTCCTCCATCCTAAAGAAATGTTTCCTAAACATAAAATGTTTCCTAAGAGGATGCATATGATTTTGTGAGTGAATAAAGAGCCTGCAACTGTTGAGCCTGTTTTTTCTAAAAAGATATTTGGCAGTTTGATCTAATGATGAGTGTTAGGAACAACTTGTGGTTGAAAATAGGTAGCTACTCAGGCAAGATTGTCCCACCTTCTTAGTCATGAAGATCAAAACAGAATACCTCCTTTTGAGTCCAAAATTTTCACTACAGCTTTTGTCCGTGTGCCAAGAACAGCATTCACAGGGGAGTTCAGAACTACTTCAAAGACTTCATCATCTTCCTCTAATCCGTCATAGGTAATTGCTACATTCCACATCTTGGTTGACACTCCTAACAGAAATAAACATTTTAATTACTCTTTAAGTGCTATTTCAATCAATCAGGGTGTCAAAGAAATAGATTAATTAACATGTCTGCGGCTAGAATGGAGTAGATTGTGTATGCTATTGTGCTCCTACTGACTGACTGGGCTCCTGCTGTTCTTCCAAATAACATTTAGTTTGAATTTGTTCCTGGGCAATGATGATTCAGTTCAAGTGCATACACTGTAACAAAAAGCTGCTGTAGATGTGCAAAATTGCACTGCAATGCATAGACTTAGGACTTCCACTGTGATTTTCAAGAGAAAATGTATCATAGGGTTTTTATCTGAAAAGCTTAACTTTAAAGATGGCAGAGTTATTTAAAATACCTACAAATGGACCAAAAACTATGTCAGATTGAAGTTCAACCTTCTTGGCAAATCTTAGCATTGTTTTTTCTTGTTTCCTTGTCTTTACTGGGTACCCTCAGGCTTGTATGTGGATGAAAAAGGGCCTTGGACATCTTGAATAACCTAACTTGTTCTCAGTTTTATCTAAAATTGACTTGTGTCCTGAGCTTTACCTATAATGACTGAAGTCTTTAAAGCATGCCACAGCTCAGCTCAGGGTGAATCCTATCCAGCGTAGTTGTTGGGAGATTAGGAGATACTATTTCAGCACTTTCGATATTTTAACTGATATAAAAGACTGTAGGCAATCTCATGCTAAGTAATAAGGATATAAATTCACTAAAGAAGCCCACAGTGCTTCCAGAAAAATGAAACCAAGTCTTAAATAGTATTCAGATTCTCTAGCTATAGATATTTAAAAGATTGCACTCTCCAATGCAAGAGTTTACTCTTCCAGAGTCAGTGAATTAATTTTAGAGTTATTCAGTGCACTATTTCATACCTGGATCAAACTGAACAAGCTTGGAGGAGGTCACAGTGAAGTCCTTTCCCAGCCTAGCAGATATTTCATTGACCTGAGAAGAAATCAAATAGTAAATGCCATGCTGTGACCCATTTCACTGAACTCCTTCTGCTGCATGCTGGAGGTACTTTGCACATCTCAAACAGACAGGCCAACCCATACATATACTCAGGCTGGGAAAAAAGATAAGGACCTGAAGAATAAACCACCTTTATGTGCAACTGTCATTCTGTCCTTGCTCATGGCTTAGAAAATGCTTCATAAAAAAAAAAAAAAAAAAAAAAAAAAAAAAAAAATTAAAAAAAATCCCTATCTTACAATTTTTACTCATTCCCCTCTCAGACTTGAGACCTCCAGGTAACCCTGCTGCTCACCATGTCTGGGTACCCTGCCATACCTGGCTCCTGGACAAGCACGTCCTGTCATCTCACAAGAGCAGCAGCAACCTGGCCATGTTTTCCTATTTGGCCCTTCGTGATATCTTGAAAGAAGGTTTTTCACACAGAGCCTTCTGTCATCCCCAAAGACTCCTTAGGATAGATATGAGCCCTACATGTGTAAATATAGGGATTCCAGCAACTCCCTGAATTTTCAGAGGAAGCACCAGGGGACACCAGTTTCCACACTGTGTTCCAGCTCTTGATGCTGGAATCAACTGTACTGCAAGTGACTTTTCTGCAAGTGACTGCTAGAGTAGAATCACCAGAGTCTGTGAAGGGCCCCTGATGGCATCATTAGCAGAATACCCACTAACTTCAGTAGAAGAAAAATCAAAATCATGTTTCTAATTAGGGCTATAACCCTGAGAAACCATCAGGGTGGAAAATGGTATTTCTCTAGCTAGGGGAGCTGATAAAATACTGGAATTTCCATTTCATGAGGAAATATAAAATTTGTGAAGGCAAGTTGCACAAAACCTGTTTTACAAAATTATAGCCTGCAGTTTTCAGTCTAGTCTTTTTGACATAAGACATAGGCAGTCACTGAAGATACAGAGGGTTTTCCTAGGCTATGGGCAGTAGGAGGAGAAATGGAGAAGGCTGCCATGGCTGTGTAGTTGAAGACTCTATATCTCCTGGGCTCTTCCAGCCTGAGAAGGCATAACAAAAGCCCCAAGACCCCAGATTGCCCAAAGCCTGGATTTTAAAGTGGCAGACCCTGGAAACCAAGCTTCTGAACACAGTGCCAGAGGAAACTGCCTGCTCTGTTTTTTCATCAATACTGAAATGCTGCTCCAAAACATTCCAGGTTTGGTTAATTAGTGTTTCTACTCAAAACTCAAGAAATTTTGTCAGAAATGTTTCAGCCATCTGTAGTAGCAAGGACAGTGTCCCAGTAAGTATGAATTGAATCACATGGCTACTTTGATGATTACTGAATTATCTTTATGTCTGAGGAATAAAACAACAGGCTGCACTTATTATTAATTTAGGTTGTTAGCTTTTGGCTTTACCTTCACGGTTACAAAGGCAGACTCCCCCAAGTGTCCTGCCCTGGTGATTTTCAGAGACACCACTCCCATGTTTTCACACACTTCATATTCAGTCTGCAGCATTTCAATTCGAGACCACCGCAGCTCCAGCCTGTGGGAGAGAAAGGAATGTGCATGTAGAGCAAAGCCACCTGGCCAGCCACCCCCAGCCCCTGCTGCTCAGAGGCTGTGTGAGGAGCCCTCTCTCCCGACGGCTGATTTAGCCAATACACATACTGAGTCTTTGTCTCCAAATCAACACATTTGTGTGATTTAACTGATTAGGAAAAGGCAGTAATAAACCTTCCAGACCAGCCCTGATATACCCTAAACCACACTTGAGCCTTGTTTCACAGCCAGGGGAATTCTGCAGCAACTTTAAGAAGAGCAGTTTGTCCATAACAATAGGCCAAGACAAGTTATCACTGTTTATCCTGGTTCCCTTTAGCCTTGGAGTTTTATCATACTCTCGCTTCCCAGTCTTTTCTCAGCAATATCCTCCTTTCTACCCATCTGCCTTCATCTATTCCCTAACTCTCCTCCTGAAGCATATGGAGTATGCCCTGGGACTTTTCTGACTCTGTGCAAGGGCCTTCTCTCCTCCCCTTACTTTAGTCTCTGCATACTTCACTCTTCAACCATTCCCCTATCGGATTCCAGGTGTCTTAGGCACTGAATTTTAGAATTGTTTATGAAGGATGAGGGCAGTGTCTGAACTTCAGAAGATTGTGTGCTGCACAGGACAGTCAAAGATCTTTCCTTTTTTAAAGCTATTATAAAAATTAGTGAGAGTCAGAGAGGGGTGAATGAGCATGCAAAGAAGCAAAATAAGCTGAGCTATTTGAATTATACTAAACAAACTTCTAGGCCTTTCACACGTGAACTAGTTCTGTTAGCAGTGGAAGTTTCCTCCTGTCCCCCTCTGTCCTCTGATGCTAATTTTGTGGGAAACTCATTTAGAAGCTGTGTTGCTTTATTTTGCTAAAGATGGATGTGCCAGATCTAGTCCAGCAGCATTCAAATAAAAGCTGGGACATGAACAATAAATTGTGTGTTTTGAAACAATGATCAGTAGGTGATAAATACTTTAAACTGAAAAAAATATCTCACAAGCTTTTAAATCCAGTATTAAAATAATGTTTTGTCACTAAAATTCCCATTTGTTCTTCTAGCTAATAACTTCACTTTAACACCTATTTTCTCTAAAAAGAGCTTTCTCTTTGCTCTTTTCCTAAAGCTGTGCTATGCATTGCCATTAATTTACAAGGAGTTGCCCTTTCGCATGAGAAGTGGCATCACATATTGGTGGTTTTAATGTTGGCTCATCCGCAAGCCAGCACAGAGCAGCTGGGCTGTCCATGCTCAGATGTGTTTGTGTATAGGGACATCTCTTGGCACAGCACATAAATGCTGCCTCCAGCTCAACTCAGTCCTTGTCCTCTCTCCAGCATGAAGGGAAATGCTCTGCCCCTAGGTACAGCTCTCTGCTCCTCTTTCTTTACCATGAGCCCTGGTTTGTGAGTAGCAAGTTTAGCCCAGAAAAACTACATTGTTGTTGTTGTTTTTCCCCCGATTTCTTCTGATTAAATAAGTTGTTTGCACATTTAGCCCTATTTTCAGAAATAAAGAGAAGCACTGCCTCTACTGAGGAGCTACTCGCACTTACGGCTTTTATCACCAAAGCACAGTTTGGATGATATTCTAATTTTTCTACATGAAGCTTATCATATGTACATACAAGGAGGTGGTGGGAAGTATGCTTAATACATGCAGCAGATGACAAAGAAGATGCTGTGTGATTTCCACCTTCTTTCAGTGCTCTTTTGCAGAAATATGGCGCTCACAGCTTTGTCATCTGAGAGCATCCCTTCCATTGTAGTCTCAAGCTTGCAAAAAATGCATTGCCATCAGCTAAGGGCAAGAGAGACCTGCAGCTGCAGGACTATGTTCATGAAGCAGTAGTCTCATCCTTCAGCACACAGCATCTCAGCTCTCCAAATGTCCAACTTCCACTAAACGCAGTATGTTTCCCGGGGAGGCCCTGAAGGCCCTTGAGAACTGTGACACAGGCTAACCTGGAGGTCACCCCTCGAATTTCACCTTCTTGAGGGGTGTATTTCACCTCCTCTACCCCAACAAAAGCAATGGCAGGTTGCATTGCCCATGTCTGCATGGTTTCCAGCCTAGCACCTGTTCATCTGCCCCAGGGGGCAGCGAGCACAGTGCAGCACAGCCTGTATCACCAAGGAGTGGAGCTACCTTTGGGGTGCTGCAGAGTTTCCACTGGCGTCTGTCACTTGAAACTCCAAGTTGTCTGAATTCACTTCTTGTGATTGGTTGAAGACATAAAGTATGATTTTGCTGTTTAAATCCTTTTGGCTAAATCCTTCCTGAATGAATCCACCTAGGAAAGACGAGTAATATGCAGGTAACCAAAAGCCTGATAATAAGAACCACATTGTTAATATTTACACTTTTCAACTTTTCTTTTTGTTAAGAATCTGAATTTAGAGAAATGCAGGTTTATAGCTAAACAGCAACATCTGTTCATTATAAGCCCCCACCAATTTCTTCACGTGTAACCTGTTTATCAAAAGGCCAAATTCAATAATAATCTTTTTTTAACTTGATAGAAATAAAAACATTTCTCAACAGCAGCTATTAAAAATTATCTCAAACTCTTTGAGGACTTATAACAAACTTAAGACTCAGGTTTCATTGCAAAAATTTTGTTACTACAGTCAAACTTTGCCCAAAGTTTGCTAAGAAATTTTGATTCTCTCTATCAAGCAAACATTAACAGGATAGGACTTGAAATTTGGTCTGGTATGGCCCAAAACAGAGATTATAAAAGAAATCACCTGTTGTTATATTTTCCAGGTAGCCATAATGAGGACCTCGCAAAATCTTAAAAATTATTTTGTCATCTTCTGTATTGGGGTCAGATGCCCTCAGGGACTTGGCAGTAATATAGATCCCATAATTGCCATTCTTCAGCAGTTCCACATCAGAAAAGCAATGGAGATGAATGATTTTTGGTGCCATTTTGTCCAAATGATCCACCTAAATCAAAGTTAGACATTCATTTTACAGCATCAGGATACTCTCTGTCCTGCTTTTGGTAAAATCTTGAAACTTGGTCTTCAGGAAATATTAACAGCCTCTTCATTAGTATCAGGGTATTGAAACACAGAATTTTGGCATGCAGTGCAACCAGGCATACTTTGTTTACTGAAACATGCCACATAGATACATACAAAAAATCACAGTAAACATATATGAGCCTATGATGAAGTATGAAGGACTTGAAAACAGGGGAAATGGGAAGTGAACAGAAAGATTTTAGCAAAGAAAGAAGAGTAGGAGCAGGTATCTTACACATACTCTCAGAGAGAAGACAGGATGTCTAGGTGGGGAAGCAAAATGGCTGTAATTCAAGATTCCTGTGACATGAAGATCAGCAGTCATACTCACACCCCCGTGTGTGAAAATCACAGGGTCAGGCACCAAGTGGGAAAGCAGAGCAGGAGAAAGTTCTATCCTTCCCACAGTTGAGATTCCTATGTAAAATTTTTAGCATGCAAGTATTAAGTATATAAGTATGTACTTGCTTATCTTTATGTATTTTTGCAAGTAGTTAATTCCCCAGGTTAATTATTCATGGAGCACAGAAAGCAAATATTTTAGCTGCACAGTTAAATCAGAGACTGCAGCAAGTACTAGCTGTAAAACTGGTACATTTTTGACCTTATCATGCGATTTATCTCTCTTAAGTAGGCCTGTGGTCACACTTGCCTGAATGGTGAATGCCACTGGCTTGCTCTGCACCCTCCCATTCACGATGAAGCCTTGGTTAGTCCTGTCTGTGGCAACAAATGTAAATCTGTCAATCTGGGAATTCCCACCTCGGTGCTTGTATGCAACATCCCTGTTGTCCACATCTTGCTGTGTGAAATTGTACTGCAGTAGCACATCCCCATGATAATAGAGATGCCCATACTGGGGGAGCTGAGCCAAGACAAAGGTAAGGTTTTCTTTCGCAGTATCTGGGTCTGAAAGCTGCAGTACATCAGAAGTAAGAAGTGCCATAGATCCTTCTGTTAATCTTAACCCCATGTTCCTAGAAAGAGTGGGCAAAGCCTGGTCAGCTGCCTCCAAGGCGATCTTGAATGTCCCATGCTTAGTCCTCAGTCCATTGCTGATGATGAATCTGGCAAAGAGAGGCAAGGCAGTCTTCAGCATCTGTTCTTGATTCACCATGTACTGAAATGAAATGATAATGCAGACCTTTACTACAGGACTTGCCTGTGTTGATACTGCAAAAGTGAAAGAGCTGGGTGGAGCACAAACCCAGACACTGAGTGGAGTGGATGTAAAACTTAAAAACCTGACAGCAGACAGCCAGGTATGTGACAGGAGTTACAATGCCCTGGCAGGGATTGAGGAGGTGCCAGAGGAAAGGCCTTGAAGACCAGCAGTCATAACAGAGCTGATCTAGTCTTCTAGCTGAGATACAGGTGGAGCAAATCTAAAAGGAAAGGCTGCCTGGGGGCCTTATTCTAGCTTCTGGCATACATATTTTACACATCATTACAAATTCTCTTCACTTGGTTACCTGGCAGTAGCCACCTACAGCTTACAGAAAGAGGTATGAGAAGTGCATGACCTGCCTGGTTTGGTTTGGGTTTCTTTCTGTTCAGTGTTGCAGATCTTTTCTACCCAATGCCCCCAAAATCATCTGAAAAACCAAACTGGATTAAGATTCAGCCTTTTCCCACTTCATGGGTTTGTTTAGGCACTACCTATATCTTTAAATTTTCATATATTCAGAGGGGCTGGTTTATGTTTCTTTAAAAAAGTCAAGTTTCTCTGAAATACTAAGATATTGGACAGAACTGTACAAATTGTATAGAGTGATGTTAAAAACATAGATATCCATCACATAAATTTATCAATGGTCATATCTGCACAGCTCTTCTTCCATGCTGGGAATTTCTATCAACAGCCACATAGTTTCTTGTATTTCTCACTCAAGTAGTGATGTTTCTTTAAGTGCAAAGATCTGTTTATTAACTAGTTCTCCTTTCAAAACTAAGAGAAAGGTTCCCAAGGCTGTAGAGAAAATCTGTTGGAAACTCTGCTGTTATTGACTGGGGTAGAGTTAATTTTCTTCATAGTCACTTGTATGGGGCTGTGGTTTTGATTTGTGCTGTAAATAGTGTTGATCACATAAGGATGTTTTGGTTTTGTTACTGCTGAGCAGTGCTTACACAGCATCAAGGCTTTTTCTGCCTCTCACACTGCACCACCAGTGATTGGGCTGGGAGCGCATAAGGACTTGGGAGGGGGCACAACCAGGACAGCTGACCCCAGCTGACCCAAAGGATATCCCAGACCATCTGGTGCCATACTCAGTGTATAGAGACGGGGGAAGAAGAAGGAGGGAGGGGGAGACATTTGGAGTGGTGGTATTTGTCTTCCCAAGTCACTGCTGTGCATGATGGAACTCTGCTTTCCTGGGGATGACTGAACACCTGCCTGCCCACAGGAAGCAGTGAACGAATTCTTTGTTTTGCTTTGCTTGTACACACAGCTTTCGCTCTACCTATTAAACTGTCTCTATCTCAACCATGAGTTTTCTCACTTTTACCTTTCCAATTCTCTCCCCAGTCTTATCAGGTGGGGAGGGAGTGAGCAGCTGCCTGGTGCTTAGTTGCTGGCTGCAGTTAAACCATAACAGAAGCCTACCAGCTGGGTATGGGCTTTTGCCATATGAGTGACAGCATGGTCTGCAGAAATTTATTATTGAATTTAGTTGTGGAGAAAAATAAAAACAATCTTTTAGCCTTTTAAATTCCTCTTAGATTTCATTGGGAAGATCATTGTTTCTGTATTTTCTTCTGAAAAGAATTACATGCAACATTTTCATGCCTGTAACAAAAATTTTTGAGGGTATATGAAAATTGCTCTGAAAATGTCTCACAATCCTTCATCTCCCATCTACTTACAGCATATAGAGACAGATACCTGTCTTTCTTTATAAATTGCAGTGATTATGCTGCACAGCATGTGCAAAAACATTTTGTAAGGTGGTTTTCACACAGGTTCGTTCTGCCTGAGTCAGAGCAGAGTCTGCTGTGCAAAGAAATTTGTCTCTAGTAGAGTGGGACAGTTGTTTCAGACAGTATGAGGGCCAGCCTAGCTGGCTGCTTTCCACCTAACAGTCTTTTCTACCAGTGAAATGGGGACTGGCTGACATTTAGTAGATTATCTGTTTCCCTTTGGTCTTTTGACTGCAGACCTTGAAGAGGTATTTTTAAAAGTACAGGGTCAACACCTGGTGTATTGCTGTGTGACTTGAATTTGAGTGACTTTCAGTAGGTCATGGGGCAGCTTACTGTGTCACACAGACTGTCCACCTAAAGCTCCCATTGCCTTTCACCAACATTGGATGATTAGAGCTTGATCACTTGTATACTGGCATTGTGCCATGAAGCAGATGGGAATGAGCATAGGCAGACCAGGGACTATGTAGCAGTTAGAAATATGTTTACTGAGGATGGTATTCCCAACTGGGAACCTAGAGACATCTGTCTACACTGACCTAATGCTATTGTGCCAATGGTAAAAAGGTTGTGCTATTTGTAAGCTTTCAGAAATCAAATACAGAACTAGAATAATGATGGTAAATACTGTGTTAGGAGAAAAAAGGGTAAAGCACCTTCAGTCAGGACCTTAACCTCCTCCCAAAACGCCTGGAGGATTGCAGCAGAAGTGAATTTTCTCTCATTCTTTTGATTGCTGTATAAACATTTGGATGATATCTTGAACAATATTCAGTGAAAGACTTAGATAATTCATGAAATTAAAGATTCATCCAGCCTTCTCCAGAATACCAGACACGAATAAAGCTCATGTATACATCAGACTGAAATTTACCATGGATTTCATTCATTCATTTCTGCTGAGTTTCACAGGTAATGAAACTGCCTATGTCTAAGATGTCCTTCTTCTGCACTTTGGGAGATTTTGGTTGTTTACTTCTGGTTTATGTCTGCTTTGTAATTTTACCTCAGGAGTAAAGAGCAGACAGTATTCTCACTCTGATGAAATTTAGGGTACAATTCCCAGGCAAAGTTTGGAGGACATGTTGCATGGTTTGATTTCACAACTACCAACATTTCATGCTTTCTGCAGCTTGATGGCAATGGAGTTGGCTATAGGACCTACCATCTGTCATGGCATTTAAAAGATAAAAATGGAATCATAAATAGTGCCAACTCATTACAAAATCGAGCCAGCATGTCAAAATGGAGGACATTAGCATGTTCTTTTAGCATCCTGCTGCCAGCATCTGATGTCAGGTTGCTAATCACTTGAAGTCATCTGTCCAAACAAGTGCTGCCAAAGCTTTCTTCCAGGCCAACAGCACCAAACAATACAGGTAAATTTATGTCTGAAGGAAGTACTTTAGTGGGAAGTAAAAATCTGGTCAGTTAATTCCTCCTCCTCCTCCCACAATTACCCATATAATTAATTCCTTGTTGAAATAATAATACTGTTCTGCCAGAATATTTATATGTCTACATAAAACCAAATTATTTTCTAAATGATAACATCAAGTAACACAATTGTTTGGATTAAAATAGTTATCAAATATCAATATTTATTAAAGCATCATAACCTTACTTTTATAAGACTGACTTTCTAGTTTGTTCTTAGTCATTGGCCTAAACAGAAAACATTGGGTTTATCCACTTTTGCAATTTGCCTAGAACTGTTTGATCTGCTTTCGTTAGTGTGATATGGAAGTCATAATGACACAAGCCACTATGCTACACTGCCCAAACTAAGGCTGGCATGACTGCAACCTTACTTAAATAATCTAATCTAGTTTTGGTGAAAATGTTTCACTAAGAAACTAAGAAACATAAAACCAGGGAATAAGTGTTCACTTTTCCTGTAGTGAGTACAAGTGAATCAGAAAAATCTCTTAACTAGAATTTCCACCACACTGAATGCAGAGGAAGGGATAGTTTAAAATGTTTAATCTGAGGAAAGTTTCAGAATAAGTTTTGGGTTAACTCTGGACAATGCTACCTGACCCAGTATCATAAGGAGATTTATTTGATGCCTCCAAGCCCCACTTGCTTGACTTGCCTGCAAAAAAGTTCTCAAACTGGATGATGCAACGTGTTCTCCAATTTCATCATGCCTCACAGAAAAAGCCATTCAGATCAGGAATTTATTCTAGGTGGGTGTAAAAAGGGTTTTCTCCTGAATTGCTGCTCTTAGGAGCCAAGTCTTTAATTTTCCATAGTCACGAATGAAAAATAATAAGCTCTTAATTTTGAATTTTACAGTAAGTCCATCTTCTGTCAAAAGCTGGTCTCAGAAAAAAAATACCAATATTATCAAAAAAGTAAGCTTTCTTCCTTTAGAAACATTTTCTTTATTTTTGAGCTATGGATTTACCCCAAAATTTCAAGTGTCTACATGAATTTCAATATAGTATTGTCATATTTGACAATATGGTATTGTCGAAATAAATTAAGTGGACTGGTTTTCATTATATTCCAGAATACTTAGGGATTCAGAGAACTCATAATCAAATTAATAGGATAAGTTATATCAGAGAACAAAGCTTGTATTTACCTGAATGGACCAGCTTTACCACATCCAGCTGTAGCAAAAAACCAAAAGAAAATTCTACCATGTTCTCAGTCCTTTTTTCTCACTTAAATCTTAACAGCTGTGTATGCCTGGGTGCTATAGTAATGTTGAAGCTAGTATTGAGTAAATGTGCCTCTGGTTATGTTTTCAGCATCCTTGAGAAAATGCATTTATTACCAAATCATTCCCAACTATATTTATTACAGTAGAAATAGATGTGCTATGTAAACATTGAGAATTCACACAGAGCCTCCGTCTCTTTTTAATTTTTTTTTTTTTTTTTTTTGGTGGGGGGAGGGAGTTGGGTGCAGTGCAGGTTTTTTAAACACCCCAAAAATTCAAGGGGAAGAGCTTGAGGAGTGGGGTACTATGCCTTACCTGAATGTATCTTCACGAGCAGCTGCCTCGGCTTTGTGAACATAGCAGACAATCTGTCGTGCTACATCCATTTGACTGAAGCTCGTAATGGAGATGCCAGGATAGCTGATATACTCTATTTGTCCATACTGGGGTGGGGAGATTATCACATAAAGGAGCTCCTCTGGCTTGTCAGTACCATCCAGTGCAAGGAGGACATCAGTTGTAATGCAGCTGCGGTCTCCTTTTGGCACACTTAAAAGTTTCGTAAAAACCACTATGTCTCCTGCAGAATAGACAGAACAACACTAAAATAGTTGTATTGAACTGGATGATCTCTTCTGCATTGCTTAGTCACAGGAAAGCCACCACTGGTAGAAAAATGATAAGACTTTATAGAGAAATTCAGCATGGAAAGAACTTCACGATATCTTTATTCTGACCTTCTGCTGAAAGCAGGGTCAGCCATGAGATCAGCCAAAGCCACATTGCTTAGGGCTTTATCCATTTGGAACCTGAAAACTATTATCCTCTTGGGGCCAAGGATGAAGAGACTACAGCCTCTTTTGGCAGGTCTTTCAACCTTAGCAGGTAAACCTTTATGATTTTAATAGAGATGTAATAAAAGAAGAGAGACCACGAGACTGTAGAATAACCTGGGAGACAGAGCTGTTTCTGAACAGTCTTTTGCCTACCTTTTTATATTCTTGCCATTTTTCTGTGCTGATTTACTCAGACATAAAAATAGTTTCAGAAAGATATTTTCAGTGCTATCTTCAAAGCTGCTGGGAGTCTTGGGAGGCAAACTACAACACATTGCATTTGGCAGGGGCTTTTCAAACCCCAGGACCTGGCCAACAGTGAAGTCCAAGCAGTTAAACTTACAGGATCTGCAGGGACACTTGCCAGGGCCTATATAGTGCTAAGGAAAGGATCAGAACATGCACTCAGATATCTTGGTTTCAGAAACAGGCACTGTAAAACATCAGGTATAGTGGATCTTTACCCTTTTCCAGGTCCTTGATATTTACATAGAAGTCCACAGCTGGGGATCTGTTGTACCCATCCCAGAGGTAAAATGTGAAGCTGTCTTTTTTCTTGGACCCCACAGCTCCTGTGTGGACATATCTCACAAGGTTCATATCCACCTCTTCCTGAGTGCACTTCATTCCTGTTCGGAGAATCACCCACTCTTGTCCTACCTAGAAGGCATAAGCATCCTTCATTAACTGCTAATCACAAATACATCCTTCCCAGTTAATTGTGTTTCTTTGTAGTTATGTAGACTGTTAGTGGCAGCTACCTGGCTTTCCTTCTATAGGCTCTTTCCTCACAGTATGTTTTGAAAGGCAGCAAATAACTGGAGTTTTTTTCCAGCAGATATAAGGCTAGAGAAGATACAATGATCATTAATAAAATAGAGTAATAATAGATTAATAAAATAGAGTAATATGAAGTTTAGCCACTTTTACTCTAGGAAATAAATTTCTGCATGCCTTTTACTCTAGGAAATAAATTTCTGCATACTTCTCAATCAGACACCAAGATAAAAATTAAGTAGTCCCTGACCCAGCTTATGTTTTCTATTTTTTCATTTCAAAAATCTGCTCTTGGTTCTATCTGAAATCGTAGCTAAAACTGTATCAGAAATAACTTCAGGGAATCACGGAAATTTAGAGCCCCAGAGGTCCTTAGCTAAAAAAAAAATACACTGAATCACATCATAAAATTTCTTGCTGTTCTAGTACCCTAAATTGGACTGATCCACGAATTTGACATTTAGCAGCAGTAACAGCATCACTAGATTTACAGCAAAGGTTATCAAGGACAGAGAGCTGAGACATATATATGTGCCCTATGTGTTCAAACTGACAGACTCCAGTCAGCAGCTGTCTCTTGCCTCAGACTTAATTCACAAGTCTTACGTGATCCACAGATTAGGTTGAGATCCAGCATCAAAATGCTTTCCAAGTACACAAGTTTTAGAAGTGGAATTTTATTTCTATCACATATGCATGCTATTTAAAAGAGGAAGTTTTTTCCAGCTTTGTTCCTTTTGCTTATTTTAGGTCAATGGATTGTCATCTCATCTTCCATTTCTAATCTTATTTTTTCCATTCCTCTTGATATATCCTTTCCATCATCTTGATTTTCCCTTCCTCCCCCCTGTGCTTTTCTTCTGCTTGATAAGGTATTACTTACTCCTTCACATGCAACTCCTTCTATGCTTTCTGAACCCTGAAGTAACTGAAGTAAAGGCTTGTTTTCTTTTTTATTTTCTTTATCTTCTTTTTTTTTTTTTTTTTTTTTTTTAATCAAGGACTTTCCCCCCCCCAGCTTGATTTTTCTCTCTTTGTGGGATGATTATCCCCGCATCTCTCTTAATTTTCACTTCAGATTATCTGCCATGGTTTTTTTTTACTTTCCATCTTCTCCTGTTCAGGATCTGGGTTTTAGTGCCAAAGCCTCTGGGGCAGCATCGTTGTTTGACTCAACCACTCCTTTAACAATCAAACTGGCCAAGTGTTTACTTCAAAATTTCACAGGCATTTGGGAGAAAAGGAAAATGATCTTCATTTTGCCCTAAAAAGAGAGAGTTCTTTGTATGCCTGCTTTTTGTTGAAGTACAAATACTAACCTTGAGCTGAAGCTGACCATTTTCTGGAAGTCTTTCAAATAAGTAGTAAATTCTCTCCCTGGGGGTATCTTTATCTTCTGCTGACAGAACAGCGCTAGAAATTATTTGAGTTTCACCTATGTTCACCTCCATATTGTTCTTCCTGAAAAAATTAAAAGTCATGTATTGATGCAATAAAAGGAACCTTTTCAATATGTAATTTCTCTGCCAGAAACATGGATTAACCAATTGCTGACAGAAATTACATTTTCAGAGAGAATTGAAGAAGGGTGCCTATTTCTGTTCAAAAGAGAGGAAAAAAAAAGCAAAAAGTGCATACAAGCTTCTCCTTACAATGGTGACAAACAACAAAGATACCTAAAACAAACCAATTTAACACATCTCTCTTATTTCACTGGACCCTATTCTGCTTACCTTCATACAATTTGTAGGAAGAAGACAGTGTAAACAAATAGACTGCACTATTACTGCTAATATAGAGCACAGCAATGATGAACTGATTGTTTATTTAGGAAATGACTGCCTTTCAAGCAACTAGTCTTCAAGGCTCACCTCTATCTGTAAGAGACACAACCATATCTAACTGGATTCTTCTCTATGCTCTTTCTAGCACCCACATCTCATTCTGGGAAGAAGCTCTCAAGAGGAATGTGTAAAGGCCTTACATTCCCCAAGGGCACTTTCTGTTGCAGGATGCAATCCAAAAGGTGACAGATTGAGGTTTTGGCAATCACTGTGAATAAGAGGCACTGTTTGCCAGCCAAAAACATCCCATCACAGGATCTTCAGTCTGTTGACCAAAACTAATGGAGATGAAAATCCCTGGGGTTCCCTGAGCACCAGAAAGTGTCCAAAGATGAAAACATTAAGAAAAGATTACAGATACTGCCCAATATTCACCTGTAAAACACTGCACTAGCATAAGGAACTTTGAACCCTGCACTGAAGATGTAGAATGTGGCAGCTAAACCACCTCAGTGCCAAACTGAACGTTTTCTTAAAGCACTACTGCTTAAATACTGGCAGCATTCTCGGTGGAGAAGTAACAGGCAAGAGGCACTAACTTCTTATAAAGGAATAGCTATTTTGGGAGTAGATGTCTCAATATATGCTACTGTTCATCACAGCAATGTCAAGTGGTGGACCTAACATTGCCAGACAAGGAAGCAACAGTTTCTGGATCTAGCTGGGCAAAGCTAAAGACACTTGACTTCTTGCACTTCACCATCTCCTTTTAGAGAGAGAAGGTGGAAAATGGCAGATCAATCTATAGCATTATGTGAGGAATAAATAGGCAATTATCAGTAATTATCTGTACATGATATATGCATACATAAATTATACTTTTTATTCTAACTGAAAATTATCATTCTCTCATGTTAGCTTTATGTGGTCATTGAAAATCTTTTAGCTAAGAAACTAACATTGGTTATTGTAGGAAGCTCTACTTGGCAAAAATAACATTAGAAATTCTTTGCAACGGGATGCATAACTGTGATATGAAAGTAAGCCAAATACCCTGAGGGATCAGAAATTCCCTCCTTAGTGGCAGTCTGCTTGACAGGTTGTGAGTCTGAAATGAAAACTTTAGAGTTTCAGAGCTGTACCCACAAAACCTTTGGACTCGTAGCTTCCCATCTGCCTGTCTGGAGCTGGAAAACAGTCACAAGTATGGAGGTCCTGATGCTCTGTGACAAGTCATCAGTTGGAGATCCCAAGGGATGAGCTCCTTTTTAAAATGTCCAGGAGGTTTGGCTCTCTTGCAGCCAGCTGCCTATCTATAAATGGTCTGCCAGGTAATTTCTGACCATGTCTAATTCATCTATGAGTCCTGGTTTTGAAGCATTAGGGAAGTTAGTGTGTGCCTTTGCAGCAGCAAAATTATGCCAGAGAAAAAAAAAAATTAGAATATAAAAGAAGAGAATTACTATCTGAAAGTCCTTCCCCTGCCTCAACCTTGTGGATCCTCACACATTTTCTTCCAAAATCCAGAATTGCTTTCAGAGAGCTGTTTTTAGGCAGTTGTTTGTTTCTCTCAGAGAAAGGAAAAACAGTACCATGGCAGTCAGTGTTCAGCAGAGGCACAACACCTGGCAAACGCCTTGTGAAAAACAACTTATGAAAAAAAAACAATGAACACGTTTCCCCAGACACTTTTTCCTCTATTTGCTTAATATAGAGCAATACTAAGCATGCACTTTTTTCATTAATTTTTTTTTTTTTTTTGTTAAATGGATCTACAGAGATCTACATGGAAACATTTTTACTGACATTAGTCTGTTACTGGTTATGGCTTCCTCTTTGCATCAGACACCAAAGATGTGGTTTAATGGTGAACATGATGGGAGGCTAGGTTGATGGTTGGACTTTATTATCTTAAAGGCCTTTTCCAACCTTAACAATGGTATGATCCTAGGATTTGGTGTTTTGTGCACTTTTCCATCATTTTGTCTGAACACATCCCACTGTCATAAACAGGAACATGTGACTTACTTGCTCAGCACTGGTTTCTCATCATTAACTGGAATGACTTTCACTGAAATGGTTCTGAGGACTTTATGTTTTCCATCTGATAGCTGAATTCTAAAGCTGTCAGTGAGGTTTTCAGAGTTGTCATGCATGTACATCAGCTTCATTCCTATGTGAGGCAGGAAGAGAGAGAAAAATAAGAGAGAAAGAGAGGGAGAGGAAGAATGAGAGGAATGGAAAGAGCAACTTAATCTGACTTCTGCAAAATCCTTCATCATTTCACTCTGCTTCAATCACCTTTCTTCCATCTCCCCTCCCCATATGCTAGGGTAACAATAAACTTGCCTTAGCTACCACAAGATAAGTTTTATGAGCCACTGTTGTTCAGTGATCTAACAACATACTATTGACTCAAGGTCACCAGCCTGACCTAAGCAAGGAGTGACTCTCCAAAAAAGGGCTTTCTGTCAATCTGACAAAGGTACATTTCTTCTCCTCTCCTTATTCCAAATCACTTTGATGGGGACCATAGAGAGGATGAGACCGCCTGGCAACGCTTTCCTGTGCTTTAAATAGCCCTCAGGCAACTTTGAAGAAGCCTTTGGAAGGACAGCTGGCCTCGTATCTATGACCATGGACAATCAGAAGTTCTAGGACAAAGGTGGCTCCTTCACCATTGTGGATAACAAAAGGAAAAAGCCAAGAAGGAAAATCAAAACCAAGACTTGGGAAGGCAGAAGAATTTGGGGTGGACACCTGATATTTCTGGAGGTTCATATTAGACAGGCAGAGAGACATAAATTCTTTCCTCAGGTTTTGAGGGCTGAACTGAAATTTGTGTGACAGTATTGAGTTCATGCCTCTCTTTATACCAATAGATTCCACATTTCACTAAATAGCCGCAATTATGAGGAATCCACTATATTCCTTGCAGTATTAAATCCACTTTTTTCATTACAGGTACTTGAAATAGATTTGCTGTTTTAAAGCAGGCTGACTGATCATGCTAAGCTGTGGAGTCACAATTTGTACATTTATTACTAAACATATGGTAAATTGCAGCCTTTCAATGTCTAAAGAAGGTTTATAGGAAAGACAGAGACTTTTTACCAGTGCCTGTAGTGACATAACAAGGGGCAGGAGTAGGTTTAGGTTGGTCGTAAGGACAAAACATTTTACAGTAAGAGTGGTGAGACACTGGAGCAGTTTGTCCAGAGTGGTTGTGGAACGCTGGAAGTGTTCAAGGTCAGGTTGAATGGGACTTTAGGCAACTTGGTCCACTGCAAGTTGTGCCTGCCCATGGCAGGGGAGGTGGACTAGTAAAGGTCCCTTGCAACCCAAAATGCTCTACAATTCTGTGATCATTTGAAGAAGTACTTAATCCCATGATCAGTTAATGTGTTTTTAAATCAGTCTTGTTGTCTTTCTATTCTAGGTGCTGTAAAATGTTTACAAATCTGTTTGATGATGTTACATTATGTTACACCATGTTACATCATTCCCTTTTTTTTTTTCTTTTTTTTTTGTGATTTTCCTACTCATATTACTACCCTTTGTGATACAGAAGTCTCCCAGGATGATTTTATTGGCAGCTCCTCAAATCAATAGACAAGAAGAACATTAAATGGGAGAACTTCCATTCGTCAACACTGTCTTGAAAATAAACATAAGGCAAGTGAAAAAATAAATGATGAAGATTTCTTTAGTGTGCCACTTGCCTCATTAAAGGAAAGAAAGACCATTGTCAGAAGAATGCTGCACCTACCATTCCTCAGTAGCTCCATGGAAAAGTCATGAACAAGCAAGCCATTGCTGTGGTGATCATGGTTAATTAAGTCTCTATAGTGTAGAACATCACTGCCGTGAACACCATTAATAAGGAACCCGTACGAGGGCCTCTGCACAACCCTGAACACCAGAGGGTCTTGAGGCACATCCAGATCAACCGCATTGATAACAGACAGGTTCAGCTCTTTCATCTCCCCTTCCTGAACCTGAATGTGAATGAAAAAACACCCAATTCTTTTACATTAAAATAAATGATAGAATTCTAACACGGTTTCATGAGTTGGGTATTTTAGTGTACAAGTCTATCTCTTGGTTCATCCACCCCTTACCCTGTGGCTTTTTAACCAGCTACTGATTTCAAGGAGTTTAAGAGACACAGAGAAATTTGCAGGTTGCAGTGATGAAGAGAGTTGAGATAAGGAGTTCATATTTGCCCAAATTAATAGAAAATATGTTACATAAGTCAATGCCAAATCTAATGCTCAAAAATGCACAAAGGAGAAAGCCTTTAAATACATAAAGGTATCTAAAAATATGGATGCATATAAATTTATATGTGTCACTTTTTATTTAAAATTTATAGATTTGTATGATCATTTTTTACTTTACAGTAAGAGTAAGTTTATACTCTGTGCTCACAGAATTATTTATATTTTAAAAAGTCTACAGAGAGGGGAGAAACTATGCCAGAAATATAAAAAATACTCTATTAAAAATGTGAAATCTCTTGAGAATGCAGAAGAAGCCTAAAGATTGCTCTGCTTTCTAGACTACTTATTTGTTTAAAGATCTGAGCTATTCTTTTTATTAAACTTCAGATTTCCGAGGGCTATGCCTTGCTCCTATCTCACTGAAGCTCTGTCTTACAGGTTTACATGGGACTTCACTGGGCTGTTTCCTGAAGTAGGCTGAACTACAAAAGTAAGGGAAATATACAGAGGAACAGGTGTCAGGTCAGTGCTCTTATTTATGTTAAAGAATGTTTTCTCCTTAAAGTAGTTCTATGACAGGCATTTTGTTTATTTCCTTACAGTAATATTCCTGGTTATGAATTCTGGAACTTCATCATTGGTTGGGCTGATTAGCACAAAAAATGGGATCTCTGCTGATCTATGTAACCCATCAGTGACATAAAGTACAAACTTGTCTTCTGTTGGCTCCATTTGCAAGTGCCTAGCTTGAACATAGTTTATATTCATGGCTTTCAGGTGCTTCAGCTGAAATGAAACTACAGATTTTAAAGAGAAAATGAGTTAGCACAATATTTTCATGCTGTCTAGTTTTATCCATCATTTAAAACATTGAAACTATGTCTTTTTTCAAAGAATAAATAATTTGAACCTCTTCAAAATTTCAATTTCAAAACTGTAGTTTTTTGATTGTAAGAGTTACATTGCATGTATTACTGCAGGACACAAGCCCTTTCCCCCCAAAGATACTGCCTCATTCTGCTTCAGGTGTTTCAGCCCACATGAAACTAACTCAAATAATATGTAGGAAAATATCTGAGGTCCAAGATTCCTTGATAGCACTGAGTTAATCACTGAAATTGATGGTTTTTTCCAAGCTAAATGATTCCACAATTATATTATTCTAATAACACTTTATTTGACTGACAGACCACAAAAATGAGGAGTTAAAGACTCAGTGATTGCAGGTTTCTAGCGGAGGATGCTGGTAAAAGCTGGTAGCATTACAAAGCATGTCACAGTCTGTTCTGCTGAGGGTGAAACTCCCTTACACAGTTTGAAAGTGGACAAGGGATGTCACCATCTAAGTCAAACATCATCTCTATCACTTTTGTAACATTGTCTTGGTAACTAATGTGAGACCCAGGCTACTGCATTTAATTGACAGAGGTATAGATGATGGGATGCTGAATCTTTTCATGGGGGACTGAAGAGGAAGGCAGGGAGAGCAGAGAAATGTTTTGATAATGTCATGACTTCTAATAGATCTCAGCTGGTTGCATAAAACAAGTATTGCCTTGTTTACTTCAAGGGCTAATTCTTCACATTTCCAGAGCTTCAGTCTCCCTTTGAAGTCCTCCCACAAAGTCCCACTGCTCTTCATTTGCCAGCACCTGCACTTCCTCAATAAGCCCATATTAATGCCCACACCTGAATCTGCACCACCAGAGCCCACTGCAGAGCCTTCCACAAGCCCTCCAGATTTAATCTGCTTGATTATCATAAGTTGTTAAGACTTACCTATGCTTATTCCCATGTTGCTCTTCTCAAACCCAGGAGAAGGCAGTATATTTTCAATGTAGCCAAACTGGGGAGGAGAAACCAACACAAACTCTAAGCCATCTGCAGTGGTGTCAGGGTCAGTGGCAAACAAGTGATTGGTAGTAAGGGCTGCTGAGGAGCCCTCCTCCACCACAAAGCTTGCACCTGTGCACAAAAAACATGTTAAGCATTATTGGTCATGAGTTCATTTTACTGTTGTTTTTGTTAATAAGAATGGAACTAATAACTGAGGGGGGAAATACAGTAAATACTGAATTACTGAGGGGTTTTAACATTTTTTTCTCTGCTTTCAGCAACATCTCTGCTTTTGCCATCACAAAAGTAAAGAGGATCATGAAAATATTTTACTGGTTAAGTTATTAGGTAAGGTTTATATACTGCTCAAAAACAGTTGTTACCTCTGTTTGTCAGAGCATTAATTACATGAGAACTGTTAAGAATTGCTCATAATGAACAATTTTTCATGCATCACTTCTTAATTTCCCTGCTGAGACAATGCTTCATTTCCAGAACATTACTTGGGTGAGTGCCTGCAAATTACAAAGCTATTCATACATATGCTTAAATATTCTCTGAGATACATAACATATACCTGATACATGCAAACAAATGACATTGAAAGACACAAGCAGATGGAAAACATACTTCTAATATGTATATCACAGACCACAGTAAAAAGCCCAGGAAATTGACTGAAATTTCACACAATGGGCTGCAGCTGGACAAGATTTACATAATCAACACTATTTCCATTTTAACTGAGTTTCTTACATTCTGAAGAGTACTTGTGAAAATGTGGCTTCATATCTATTAATGTATAGCTTTTGTCTTTATTTGCTAAAAGAATGAAATATAAGTAGGTAGCAATGATTCTGTCCCTTCATGTAAGGCCCAAATTTCTTTTTTATACTCTACACACAAAGGTAAGTAAATATCTCTATTTATGTTTATGCTTTTGTATAAACCTGACACCTGTTGAGCCACAAGTTAAGTTCAGGGACAAGATATTGATCCCTTTTACCTAGACACAGCCTACATACACAGAAATTAGCATGTGGACACAGTGGGGAGCAGATCTGAGCACTCTCATTTCTAACCACATGCTCTAAACATGCAGCTGAAGAGCAACAAGCTCATCCTTGCACTGACAGCTGGATTGGGTGTTTGCACTGTACAAGCAAAAGAAAATAAAATTGATGGAAATTCTGATCCAAAACTTTTGTATGCTGATCTCAACTAACTACCTGTAATGCTAAAACTCAAACAACCAAAAAAGCCACCCTGAGTCGTCTGTCAGCCATTACAGTACTGTGTAGCCCTCCCTCTTTGTACTGCTGTAGTGAGAAGAAGCTTTCACCTGTTGCAATTGATGGAGGCTGGTTGTCCACTGGAAGTACAGTGATGTTAAGGTCATAGACAGGAAATGGATCATCACGTGAAACTGGAGGAGAACGAGGTCCATCATAACAGCAGTCTTTCACATCTAGGCCAGCCTCACAATCAGAGACAATCAAGGTTAAGACCTCAATGGAAGGAGTCAGGCCAATCTCACCGCCTGGGAAAAGATATTATGTTTCAGAAGAAATTATTTACCAAAACTTCATGAAGATTAATTTTTATCCTGCAAGGACAGTCTTCAGTATCAAGTATCAGAAGAAAAAGAAAGCAGCAGCAAAAGTACTGGAATTCTTAATTCTGGCTGGTGGGGGTGCTGTTTGGTTAGAGATTCGGTTTGTTGTCTACAATTAATTTTAACCAGCTCACTTCTATGAAATAATAAGAGGGTATAGAAAAGAGTCTTAGTATTATAGAAATTATAATGTTACAATTGCAATGTTATGATATTCTATTACATAGTAATAAAATGGCCAATAGTCCTCAGGATTCTGTTCTTTTTGCACTAATGTATGTACAAAATGTATGTTGTGTAGAAAAAGTGTTTTTTCTGCACTCCTTCTCAAAAAATGTTGGAAAATATTTCTTATATATGTATATGTGTAGATGTAGATGTGTGTGTATATGTATGTATATATATATATATATACATATATATATATATATATATATATATATTCCTCTATGACAAATGGTAATATCCATGATCTTCCAAAAGAAAACTTTTTAATATGGCAAGTAATGCCTGTATTCCTATATGCTTCTTATCCTTTCAAAATGGACTATAACAAGGGCTGTACTTTACTGTTGTACTTTATGACTGCATATTATGTCTATGTGTAATCACATTTAAAATGTGGCCTGATACAGGACTGTGAACTGCCACCCCTAGCAAGAAGCATCTGTGGGTCAGAGTACTCCAGCTGTCAGCACTTCTGGCAGCATGTGTCTCATATTGCTGCAAGATATTATTAACAAACAGCCTGCAAATGAAAGGCAGTGACTCCCACACTCTCTTGCAATACCTACTGACAGCACAATTAATGTTAGAAATTTGGGAATGAAAACCAGAAACACCACACTCTTGAAGGTGCCCCTGTAAAATATTCATTCATTGCCCCTGCAAAATATTGTCATTGAAATACAGCTTGTGATACCTTTAGAATGCAAAATAAAAGTTTGTTATTAGTGGCCACAATTAAGTACTTCCTTTTCAAATACCAGCTGTTCATTTTAGACAGTGCCAAGCTTGAAAAAAAACATCTATTCTCCATGCTAACACAAAATTACAGAATAATTAAACAGAAGACCAGAATGTTTGGGAGGAAAAAAAAGACTAAAGCTGTCATTTAGAGGTGTAGAAAGAGGACCTCTTTAATCCCGATGAAAGGATAAATTCAAGTAAGAAAGGGGGTTAACCAGCCCTTGATTTCTGCCAGTAACTAAAAAAAAAAAAGTACTAACAATAAAACCACAAAATAACGTCTTTTTAACACTGTGTTTCTCATGAAGAAAGTCAGAACTTCCTTTATCTTGTGGTAAAGAAAGACTGTGAACTGTCCAAAGTAGATAACCTTCTAGATTGGAGAGGTAAACAAGAAGTACAAAAGCGTTTTTTGATGTGTCATGAAACACATCAAAATACTTTCGTTTGTACTTAATAATAATTTTGCCTAAAAAAGCCGAAGATATTTTGTCAGCAACAGTGAAAGAGTACCTCTGGGATTACAATGCTTTCATGTACCTGTTCAAATATAATTTTCAGTTCAAGCAGGGATTTGGAGAACATATCAAAATATTTGGTAGCTTTCTATCATCACCCCTCTGTTTTAAAGCCAGTTTATTTTTTTTCCCTAGTCACAACATGTGGTTTCTAGGAAGTTCCTACTGGAATTCTGCAAAGGCATGGATTTAGGTTAAGGTTTTTTTACTAATACTTGTCTGACCACCTTTCAGTCGAATTCTGTCCTCAGCTCACTTACTAGTGTGCTTGTATGTGACTAAACCAGCGACTACATCGGCTTGGGAGAAACGATCCACGGCAATGCCAGCTTTCCTCACTACCCCGTGGTAGGGCTGGCGGGCCAGCTTGAACATCAGTTCCATGTCATCGCTGTCTGCATCTGTGGCATAAATGTACTGTGAGGAGAGAACTACTTCTTCACCCTCCAGGCAGTGGAGCACGGGAACAAGGCCTGTTTGCATAACAGGTAGCTGATCATTCACAGGCAGCACCTAATTGGAAAAATAATTTAAGATTTTCTTATTGTTCATTTCAATGGAAGCCGGTTAATTCAGGACACTGCTTTGCAGCTCAGACTAACAGTATGATGCCAGAGATGGCAGATATCAGAGTACATTGGCATTTCTCTATGGGCAAAAAGAAACCAGCTGAATTAAGAATAAAAGAGATAAGTAAACCAAACTAGATAATTATAGTTTCAGTACAAAGCGTAAGTCAAAGCTCCCCTCAAGTTTGCCACATAAACCTGAAACCTAGGGTTTAAATGGAAGCCTAATATATCCATTATCTTCCAGTTTCCAAGGTAATGCAAGGACTTTCATAAGCCAAACTTTGAACCGTTTACCTCCACACAGAGAGTTGCTCTCAGAAAGACACAACACACTGACCTTGACCTGCAGGATGAACTCTACAAAATGGATGCCATCTGTGGCTGCAAAGAAAACATCATCAGTGAGAGTCTCCGAGCCATCATGATGATATCTGTGAAAAAAGATTATAGAGATACACAAATTCTTCACAAAAATGAAGAAGAATTGATGCTTTCTGGTCATGCCCTACAACGTGTATCCCTCCTCGTATAAAAAGCTTCTCCCTGTGTAAGGGTGTCCAACTTAACAGTGCTGATTCAGCATCAGAGTTCCCAAAAAGGGCTTTTGGGGTATCTTAAAAGGAGAAACTCCCCAAAGTAAACCATTCATCAGTAAGAAAAAAGGTTTCCCTAAGGCTTGTGAGGTTCTCTGGCTGCTTGTGAGGTGTTTACCAAACACGTACATCACCATGGTAAGTGCTTACTTTCTAACACATGGAAATAGAGCCAGGGAGCTCTAACTCTGCATGAGTGTGTCGTGTCTTGTTCTTGCCACAACTAGATAAGCAAAATTTTCATCTCTATACTAGTTAATTTCAACAAAAGTTTTCTTGTAAACTAACCAAGCTTAATAAACACACAACTTCCTTAAAAGAAAATAGCTGGCAACCTTCTTCACAGGAACTGCATGGCTGAATACAAAACTAGTTTCCTCACCAGTGCTTTATAGAGAAACCTATCTCTAGCAGGCATGCTGACTCCCATTTCCTGGCCACACAACAGCTCATTTCATGGTGACATTGCAATCCCAAGGCTCAGACAGCTATCTTGTCCTGGAGCAGCTCTGCCAGAGCTGTGGTGAATATTGCTAGCCTCTGCACCCTGCACCACTTCAGGGTTCAGCTCATTCAGCTGAGAGCCTCAGCTACCACAAAAGACAGCTACTACTCTTCTAACCTGACTGCCAGGGTGCACAGGTCCTCATAGGAAAGCCTGTCCCCTGCATTCATGGGAATGTCATCCAGCTCCACTACCCCATGCTGCGGCTGCCTCTGCAGGAGCAGGAAGAGATGCTCCCGTTTCGTGTCTGCATCAGAGATGAGAATGTGTCCTTCTGTAATAGGGGTCATGCCACCCTCTTCCACTCTCAAATGGGTTGTAAAGACCTGCAGGGAGAAAAAATGCTGAGCTGTCTGTGCTGTTGCACCCCTAAACATATATCAAACAGGGTTATTCTCATTTGTTCTGCTATAAGGATGTGTAATATCTTTTAAAAAATGCCAAAGAATATACTCTTTTCTGCTGTGCTAGAAAAAAACTAAGGAAATTACCAACAACCAATAATACATGCATCCTAGTTCTTGTCCCACTCCTGGAGGATTCTGACCTCCATAGGCAATGAGCAACACAAAATATACGGATGCAGTTTTGCTGACCAAGATGTAATATATGTGTTTTTGTACAGATACATAGATGCCAAAGGTAATCTCAGTTTAGCACAAAAAAACCCATTGCATACTCACCAGACTTTACCTTATATTTCTATCCCAATCCAAGCTGTGTGCAAAACTCTGAAACCCTGATCCCATGGAAAATTCATTTTTTATCTCAGTAAAACCAGAACATTTCTCTCCATTTCTGTTTTTACCCAAAGAAATGTCCAAGTCCTTCCTTCTCACTTTCACCACCACCCTACCTCTGGGGCCTGATTGTCCACAGGAAGAATTGTAATATTGAAGCAGATCCCATACAAAGTGCCTCCATGCTGATTGCTGACAGAAAAAATAAACTGGACTTGCTGAGGTTCAGGTCCAATGTCCTGCAGGGGTGGCATGTAAGCAACTTTCATATAGTTCACAGCATGCTACAAAAAGAGAAGAGGGGTGCATGTAAGAGGAGATAATGGGGATAGCCATAATCCATCATATTAGGGATCTTCATCATCCCCTGTTTAGGTGTTATCCAGCCACCAAAATAGATTCCAGAAATTTTGCATGTACTCTTTAGCTACTAGCCATACCTTGATTAAGTGCATCATTAGGTACAAATTAGGTAAATACAAGTTCAAATACTCAAACCTGTAGCAAAAATTCCAGATACAGCTTAGAAGCGATAGCAGAGGTGATAGCCTGCATTTCTTTATGGATCCCTTTAAAAATGCTGGTCTAAGGACCTTTTCTAACTGTGGCATTAAAATAAATGATTCATGAAAGCTAACACCTCCCACAGCAGCTGAATTTGCCCTCATCAATGTGAATAGTAACTGCATGTCCTGTGTTTCATGGTGAGGACAGGCCAGTGATAGGAACATCAAAATCTTGCATCCAGATACCCATCCATATAAGGCATACAATTTAGGATCTGTAGGGTCAGAGATCTCATTATGGTACTGCAATGATCATTATGCAACTTTAGGATACAGCAGGATATGAAACAGGACACTTTAGTATTTATCAAACTACAAAAGCATAAAAACTGAACTACAAAATCCTGAAAAAAATTCTGTTCTGGCCTGTTCCATCCTGTAATACATCTTCTGGTGGAGACACTGAAATGAAGCAGGAAACCATTCAAGGTCTCATTTCCTCATTTTGTGTACTTTTTCGTTCCTCCTACATCATGTGTACCCAAGTTCAGCCTACCCGAGCAACTGTAGCCCCTGCTGGTTTTAGGATATTTGTATTAACATATTGCAAATCTGAAGCATGATAGAAATTTGTTTTAAAATCTGGTATTGGAATAGCAGAGTTTTGAGCTTTGTAAACTGAGCTTGTGATAGTACCGCTGCTCAGTTTTCACTTCTTGTTTTCCTGTCAAATAAAAGCTGTACACTTGTAACATTTGAAAATGGTTTAGAACTCATTATGGTATCAGATACCATAACAAACCTGAGTAAATGACTGCAGTGCAAGAGCAGCAGGATCCTTGACCAATTTGGGGATGGTGTCCACCATAAATAGTTTCCCAGCATCTGAGTAGCTACAGAAAAACATGTGTCACATCTTGGCTAGCAGTACCAAAGAACAAGAAAAATAGCCACATAGCTCAATCTTGCATTTCAAATTACCTTCGCATTTCCGACTGCATTCATTGAAAGGAAAAACATTTAAACAAAATCCCTTTAAACATTACCACAGAAAACTGACCAAAAGTGGCCTAATTTACAAGCAAGCTCTGGAATTGCTGCAAGTGTGTCTCTACATATCTCTACATATCCCAGATACCATTTACGCCACCTGCATTTATCTTTAAGTAGGAAAATTAATTATTTATGGTTATAAATTTATACTATATTGCATCTTATAAACTCTGAAATTAACCAGTTTTCAGCAACTCAGCTATCCAACAGCAGCAACCAGCAAACTAGATAACCATGTGGCTATTTGACTGATTAGGGAAACAGCCTTCTCCCCCAGCTACATAATGATCCTTTGCTGCTTGAGGTCAAAATTGGAAGTGTTGATTTTCAGCTTAAACCATACAGTATCTGGATTTCAAACTTTTCATTTAGCAAATTGTTGCTGATGCTCTAATGAGATTACAGCACCAGTGATGTAAACTGTTACTACACCCATTCATTCCATACCTCCCTTGCTCCCACAGCATGCTCTGCCTGTTTTCTGCTCTGCATCTTCCTAGTCCACAATCAGGAGTGCCTGATACATATTCTTGAAAAAGCTGCAGCACCTCCTCTTCTCAGTCTGGGGCAGGCACAGGTCAGCCCCATTCTAACAGTTAGAAGAGGTACTGTGACTTGTGCTTGAGGCTGCATGGCATCCCACAAGTCAGTGTAAAATGCATGTGAAACAAAAGGAAATATTTCACAAGATTTCTTGCTTCTTATTTCTTGTTCAACTATGCATTACCTATTTTTTATTACTCTGTGAATTATTACCCTGTTCCTTCAGGCTCTGGCTTAATCATCAACAGGAGACCTGCATCTAGCTATTGTCACCTGCACTTTCAACAAACAGATAAAGAACTTGAGGCACAAGTATGTTACTGCCACTGAGGTTGCCCCTCTGACATGGGTTATTCCCCTGTCCCACATGAAAGGTGTGTCAGGTTGCACCTACCCATGGCTGCAAGAGAAAAATGGGGAAGTGGTTATGTTGTATGTGAGCTCCCTGTCTTGCTCTTCCACATCTGTGAAGTGGAGATGTTTCTTAGTTAGGTGGGAAATCTCAGTCTCCTTAACAACCAGGTGACGGGTCGCTCCAGGAGCTTCTCTGGGTAGCTGGTCATCCACAGGGATAATGTGAACCATCATCACCTGGAATTGGGGAGACAGTAGAACCGTCAGCCATTCCTCTCAGTAAGAGAGCAGCTGTTAACCAACATGCACCCAGAAGTGGATCACTGGACTGTGAGACACAAGATGTGGCTGTCGTGCCATATCATCATCACATCAGTAGCAGAGGCATATCACAGTTAAAGGCAAAGCTTTTGATCTTAGAGGTTTCCCTTTAAATGCAAAGTTAAATTCAGTATGTTGGACTCTTGCATGAGAAAAATAGCCTATTCTCAGTTGACTTTAGGAGAGTTGTTTAATTTGTTTGTACTGTCTCTAAGTACAATTTGTTTTCAATGTTTCATTTTGTAGTATAGGAAATAGTCTTTTCCATGAACTTGTCTCTATTCATCCAGGGAGAGAACAACCCCACTGAAACAAGAACAAGAAATAGCCCTGAAGAATACTGTTTGTGGTGATGACTATCATCAGAAAAAACTATACCAGTTTTATTTGAAAACCTGTCAGAACATGTATCAGCCATTTGAAGAAAAAAATCAGGAGACTGCAAAGATGTTTCCATTTCATACCTGTGGCTCTGAGAGATTTGGAGGGTCATGGCTATCACATAGCACAAACTCAAGGGAATCTTCAAACACTTCTCCTCCCAAATGACGATAATAAATTATTCCATTAAATAGATCCCTCTGAAGAAAAGTGTTGACAGAATACCCTGTTGAAATGAAGAATACATCTTCCATTGAACACTCCATTTATACTACAATACCACAATACAATTTAATACTACAATAAAGTTATGCATTAGCAACTGAGGAAGAATAATGTCCCCTTTTTCACCCTAACTGAAGTAAGTCCTTTGAAATGTTACTCATTTTCTTCCACATTCTCTGAAGATCACCAACAACTTCTTTTCTGTGTCACTTAAAGATCATTCAAAAAATGAAGCAACACAGCAAACAGGCTGAAAGCCCTGTTCAGAAGAGAATTTGCAGGACTAGTAGCCCCTGCAGCCTAGCACAGGAATTTCTGGGCTGTTGCACAGGAGAGCTTTCTCATCATTACATTACATGATTACATTTCTCATCATTACATGCACAATTAGCATCATGTATTAGCTCTGAATTTGTGACAGTGCATGTAAACTAACTCCTGGCTAGCCCAACACTTTTTCTAGATAAAAGTACTGGAAAGGAAAATTGACTCAGAATGGAAGAATTTCAGGATAAATTGTGGACACAGGGACAGTTATCCTAGTGCAGAGACCAACATTAATTACTGATGTGGTTTTACACTGCAATGAAAGAAGTCCAAATCTGCCATTTTTTGTCCTGAGCCAAAATAACTTGTCTAACTGTAACATTTGCTGTATTTTTAAAAGAAGGGGACAAAGAAAAGTGTGCTTTTGTGGATGTGCTTCTTTACCTATTGAGTTTGGTCCTGGTTTCTTCATGATTTCTCCAGCCTGTGATGGCTTGGTAATATTGAATAGTATGTAGTCGTCACTGGAATCCATGTCTGAAGCATGAAGCATGGAGCTCTGAATCAGCATTGTCTGTCCCTCGTGAACTTCAATGACCACATTGCTGATCAGAAATGGAGGGCTATCATCTTTTGGGAGGATATTTATTGGAAACTTATGTCGAATACTGTGGAGGCCATCAAAGATTCTAAATACCACAAAGTCTTTAGTAGAATCACTGTCATCGTGATGGTAATGAACAACTCCAGCCTGAATGTCAGAGACGGTGAATATGAATCCTTTCTGTCCTGTCAAAATAGTGGAAGAAAACACATCAAAAATGTGTGGTTCAGCCCAGAAAAATATCTTTCCAGGTTATCAGGGAGAGAGATGAACAACATATTGCTAACTAGAGAAATCAAATGTAACTCCACCTAGCAAAAAAAAAAAAATTGCAGGAGTTGGAATAGCTAATAAGAATGCAAAATTTGCAACTGTGAAACCAGAGAAAATCCTCCAAATCTCACTAAAGGTAACTAGAGACACCAAAGATTTTTTTAACTGTGGTTGTTTCCACTTTAATTTCAATGTCTACTTTCTTATCAGAGCATTTTACATGCATTTTAAGCATCAAAGAATATAGTATTTATAGTTAAAGTTCAGGATTTTGTTACAAGTAAAATATAATGATGTGGGGATTTTGGTGTATTGAGATTATTGTCTCTAAAAAGACTGTTCTATAACTCTGCTTCACTAGAAATGTTATGTATACAGACAAATATACAGGCAAGTTAAATAATTCAAGAATTGCAAGCTGGCACTAAAAGATATGATCTCCTCAGAGCCACCAAGTAAAGAAACCAAACATTTCTCTAAGGTTTTACAAAAAGAAGACAATTGCCAGAAATTGTGGTGATGTTTTCCTTGGCATGTACCTATGTGGACAGACAAAAGAGAATAAGGTGCAGTCACTGGAGATAAAATATCCATCTCTGGTTGGTGCATGGTAGTCTTAGAAACCCTCAAACTCAGTATGGAAGGGCAGGACTGCCACCAGGAGATGGGCCCTCACTGGCTGCACAGTCTCCCTAACACTTCAGTCTCTGGGGCTGAACCCACCCAGCACTGCTGACTCCACGCTGTTCCTGTCTGTTGCTTGGCCGCAGGATGAACTTGCAGACACTGGACTACTTGTCAGGAGTTTCCTGAATTTAAGTTTACTTCTGAATAGTTTTTATATTTGCTAGATTCAAAACGCTACCTTTCCTTTTATTTAAATAGTTTCTTTATGTCTTTAGGTTATCCATTTTATATAAACACATTCAGCTATCAAAAAACTCAGCATTGATATTGGCAGTATGTTCCCACTCTGCCAAGAGCAGAGTGATTGCCATTCCACAACCTTTTTCCCAAGCACTGAGACCACTTGTGTGCTGCAGAGCAAAACTAATAATAATAATAATGCAGAAGGCTAATGAGTTAGAAGTCTAATTTAATTTCCACTTCTTGAAATAAACCTTAAAGCTGCTGGTAACGACTATATCCGAAGGTTGTCTGTATTTGTCAGTAAATCAAAATCACTTGACCTTCCTTAGCATCTGCAAACAAAAATGTAAGAACTAAAAATGTATTGACTGTGTTCCTCCTAAACCATGTATCTCAATGAAAGCATAGCTGATCTCTTTAAAATTTTGCCTTTGGAGTGTAAACATGCATTAGGAAAGTAAAGGTTTAAATACTGATTTTTTGAACATTCCTGTTTTAGTACCCATGTCTAGCATGGTTGTAACAGAAGAAGGCGGTCAGCAGAGGGAGCAGAGCTGTTGTTTTATCATTGAGGAGATTTTTCCAGTCTCTGGAGTTGAAATTACCTACCTCGCACTGACAGCCGCCCATGCTGTAAGCCATCAACTGTGACCAAGCGAACGTTTTGGATGTCATCATTGTCCACAATTTGGAAGTGTTGCCATGTGATGGGTCGGGATTGTCCCTCTAGGAGGTTGAGGCCTGCAAAGAGCAGAGACTTACGTCACTGTCAGCATCTATCACTTCTGAAGTTGTTTCCAACCAGGAAAGAAAAACCCAGAATGTTTAATTCTATCTACATATCTCCATGTGAAAGGCATTCCAGTGGAGGTTTAGATTGGATATTAGGAAATATTTCTATTGCCAAGGCAGTAGTTGAGTCACTATAACTGGAAGTGTTCAAAAAACAGGTAGACATGGCACTTCATGATATAGTTTAGTGGTCGTGGTGGTATTCAGATGAAGATCATTTTGGAGGTTCTTTTCAGCCTTAATACTTTTATTATGCTATGATTCTAAGGCCACCTAAAAGTCTGATAACAGCTTCAGACACACCTGAATCTGTTCACTGTCTTTAAGGAATCTTTTTCAGAGAAATAAGCAATTCCAATACTGCAGAATGCACCTAGTGCAGGTAGCTTCATGTGCAAATTGCACATTGTGCCCTGGCTAGAAGGAAATAGCTGGAGCCCCAGGCAAAGAACCATGAATGTGCACAGACCCTTTGTCTAAAAAGGGGTATGGGGTGTGGCTGGTCACCCAGAGATTGCAGGACACCACGAACAACAGGAACAAATATCACCTCTGGAACAAGTACACACCACTTGTTCCACCACACCAAGACTGGGATATAAAACTCAGGGATTCCTTTGTTCAGAGTCTGTCCCTGGAGATGCCCAGTTTGAGCTGCTTTTGTGTTGCTGCACCACAGTTAAATTTCATAAAGGAAGCAGAGAGCTAGGATTCTGATATGGGAAACCCAGACTGAGCCAGTAACAGAAAGTTGTCTGTTAGTGTGTGTGTGGTGAGTGCAGGAAGTCAAGCAGGACATCCATCAGGTCACTGGAGCCACCTGCTGTGAATGGCCTCAGTCCCAGCAGAGAAAGTCAGGTGGTGCAATTGTGCCTCACAGAGAGGGGCATCTGAAAGGTCAGGCAGGAAAGTTCCCTTGGCAGCTGGTTTCCAGTTTTCTGATAGTCTAATGAGGCACATTTCTGTACATTTGCACTGGCAGGAGCATTGCACTTGAAATCTCACAATGTCTGAAACTGAGCATTTAGATTCTTTAGTGAGTTTGCAGTTAAAAACATATATTGAGGAAACTTCCTTACAGAGGAAAATTCCTGACAGTGTTCCTTCTTACTTAGACAGTCATTTCAGGCAAGGTTTCTCTGGAAGACATGAGGTATCTTCTTCTCAGCCCCTTTCCTTTTCTACTGTAGGAAAACTGCACTTTCCCTAGTGTTAACTGCTTGATCTTATATATTTTCCTTTTGATGATCAATGCATTCTAGATGAGAGAATGTGTTCCCTTTCCAGAGCAGGCATTATAAATCTGTTTGAATTAGACTTAACCCTGTAAAGTTTCCAGACTTTAAATGGCTGGTGGTATAGCTTGCCCTTTTCCCTAGTTGTTAATTTTTTCACACTTCCACTTTAAACAGCAACAAGCCTTGGTCTTTCCCTACTATTCCCTACTATTCCTGTTCCATCATATATTTTCCATTAATATTCATACTTCTTAATGTACAATTCATTCTTCTAGAAAATAGTATAAATATTATAAATATATATAATTATATATTTTTCGATTTTATGATAGATTTTATATCTACAAATAGATAAAATTATATAAATATGTATAAATGCTGTATAAATAAATCCTGATTTTCCTGTAACTCCATTTTTTCTTTATTTTTCATTCCAGTTAAGACATTAGATCTTTTTCAAGTTGTTGTAACATGGTCCCTCCAAAATCAATATAGGGGAAAATAGCTCTTTCAGTTTAATGAACCTTAGACACCAGGTGTAAATCTGAATTTCAGAGCTTTGTCAAATATGTGTGTCAAAAATGTTATTAATTCCAAAGCAAAATGAATTCAGCTTAAGAAATCTCACCTGTATTCCATGAAACACGAGGGGCATTTGTATCTGTTGTTCTGATAGAAAGATGCACAGTGATTGGTAAACTCCTTTCAAAGTACAAGTCGTGCACCTCAAATTCCACCTGTTGTGAAAATAGATAAACTGCTTGTTGAAAACTGGAAACCAAATGTACTTCAAATAGATAAAATGTAGTCTCTCCTGAGAGATCTTACAGGCATCTGATAATATGCTAATTAAAAAAAAACCCTTGATTTAGCTTCTAATAAGAGCCATGGAAGTTCTGCACAAAACTGAGTATTTGCATTCTTTGCTCTTTGCAGTTAATTTTGTGAAACTTAGTTTGTAGTGTGTGTAATTTTCATTTTATTTGAGGAACAGTTAAATCATCAAATAATATAGATTTTACTTAATATAGATTTTAACTTTAAACTAGACTTTTTTTAACTAGTAGTAATAAGAAGTTGTAGAAGACATTTCCTGCTCTTTTAAGAGGTGTAGGACCAAAAATAGATTTGACAGAAAATATATGCACTGGTATAGAAAAAATAAAAATTAAATTAAATTAAAAAAAAAAAAAGAAAAAAATCAAACTCTTGAGTTGTCAGGCTCCAGAACTGTCAAATTCTTGAATCAAATCTGCAATCAAACAATGCTGAAAGTAGAACAGAAATGAGGCACTTAAGGAGCAGATATTTTGGTAGGATATTTTGGTCTGGTCCTCATATTAAGGAAACAGGGAAAGGAGGTTATTGTGACAGCCAAGAAAAGAAAAAAATAAAGAACTTTTGTCAGCAACAATTGCCAGTTACTGTTGCTGTTGCTCTGCTTTCCAAACAACCCTTTCCTTAGCTTACCTTGCTCTCATTTTCTGTTCCTTCAGTTTTATTATTTTATTACCAACCATTTTGCTTTGATTGACTAATTCCTTAAGTACCTTATCAGAGAGTTATTTCATAACTTACTCAAGAGCCTGCAGACAGAAGCCTGATCTCATTTGTCATTTGCATCATGCTCTCTGTGTTAGTGACCTGCTTTTACGACTCCCAGCAGGAGCTGTTGGGAACCCCTTCTTGTTATCCCTAAACCACCATTATCACAGCAGGTAGGCTGTAAGGCCAAATAACAATCCTGGCCTTTAATTGGTCCATCTTTCATGACTTTAAATATGTCATCTCTGCACAGGTCACAGGGATCAGTAACACCATGCAAGGATAAAAGCTGTGTGGAAAAGGCACGACTGATCTTTCCGAAGGCTCTGGGGTAGACGTACAAGCAGTATTCCTCTTATTAAAAAAAAAAAAACAGTTTAGATATTTCTCTGAGGGAGTAAAAGGTTTTCAGTACAAAGAAATTCTTATGTAGTGAGCGATAAACATCTATTTTGTGTTAGTCAAGATGATGTGTCATAGGAGAAAGTGGCAAAAGATTTTACTTCTGCTCCTGTATTGCATATAGCTTTTAAAACTTTTTTCCCTGAAAAATATACATTACATATGATTACATTTATTTCCATTTTACTTACTCTTAAGGAGGTGAAAACCAGCAAATGTTCACACATCTCACTGTTACCTCATAATTCCTCCTCTCCGTGTGGCTGTTATTTGGAGGCTGATAAGCAATGAGCATGTCACTGAGATCCTTCCACGTGAAGGAGCCAACATGTTTTGTGTGGTCAGAGAGGTGAGTGATAAAGCCCTGTGGAGGTGGCTTGGTAATGTTGAATATAAGCAGGGACTTTGGAGTTTCATTGTCTTCAGCATCAATGGTTGTGGTTGTAATAGGGGTTAAAATAAATTGATCTACTTCCAGGATGAACTTTGCTATTGGGGTAGCTTTGGGTATTTGGTTGGGAACAGCACCTCTAATCCGAACAGGGAGCCATGCATACTCTGTCTACAATAGGAAAAAAAATTAGACAACTGAAAAGGCAAAGTAAAGTGCAAAAATAAATTCAATTTCTTTTAGCTTCACATAGCAAATCAGGGTACAAGTTAAAGCAATAATTATTTTGAAAATAAAAGTTGAAATATTTTAATTAGAAAATGCCTAGAATAAATATTGAGACATCAAGAATATGACTTTCAGGTTCACTAGTCTTATTTGTGTCCTTAATTTGGGGCTGAAATTACTTACTTAATTTGATGTAAGTTTAATGAATAACTTTATCTGACAGAAACATGCACAAGCTGTTAATTATTATTAACTGAATATGTTCACAGAGCTCTTAACTTATTAATTACTGTACATGTTGAAGTCAATGCAGATCATGCTGTATAAAAGTTGTGGAATTATGCCAGAATTAATTTTTCTCTCAGGATAAACTACTTATGTCTGACAGTAATCAACCCGAGGTGCTTCTCTGTATCCATAATGGTCTAATCATAGACCATTGGCATGGAGATAATGCCTTTCATTAGCTTAGCTGGCAAAGTTCTAAGAACTGAAAAACTTAAAAGGCTCCCTATCTCTCTTCAAGTGTGACAAGGAGCAAAAAATTTATTAAAAAAGAAACAACAACAAAACCACAGGATGACAATCAGATATTATAAACTTGCATAAAAATCTACCTTGTGCAGAGTTTTGCTTCTGCTGTCTGAGAGATCCAACCTCACGGGAATGTAATCAGTGTCAGGTGAGGGGGGGTAGAGGTGTTGATACTGAATTCCCATCCCCAGAAATTCTTCACAGCTCATCTTTTTGTTGTTAATAACTCCTAGTCCCAGTGTACAGCTCCCATTTTTGCAGTGTTGGCCCAGGCTGTGCTCTGTAACCCAACATAGTGAAACTGTTACCGGAGCAGAAACCAACCAGGGAACCTGCCCGTGTAGCTAAAGTAACCCTGAGAGAGGCTCCTTTCCTGACTTAATTTCTCCTACAGGGTTTTGTTTCCAACTGACATCTTCCAACTCCATCCTCCCTTGGTGTCTTGGTTAAGTGCTGTCTCCAGCAACTACTTGTGCTGTTTCTATTGAGTCTTGGCACTCACAAAGCTGTCACATTGGTCCACATGTCTAGGAGCCAGAAACAGAATCCAGTCAAGGAATTATTGACCCAGATCTGTGATCTGCATGGCGCCTCACAAAATCGTCATGTCCCTTTCATGCTCACGATAGCTCAAGCTGTTCATTAAACTTCACACGACCTTCTCACTGTTACACAGCAGGTCTGAAACAACCCACTGCTGCAGACATAATCTGCTGCATCTCTTCGAATGTGCTAAGGCAAACAACAAAAGCATGTCATACTAGTACCAGGGAAGAAGCCCCGTGGCTGATCTCCATGAAACTGCTCTTGCTGCACTTTCCGGGCAATAAGCTGGCCATGAGCAGGCAGGTGAGTTTCTGAAGAGATTATGGAAATGGAGCAATCCAGGTTTATCTTTCTGTCATAATCAAAGGTGAGGATATTCTTGTCAATCACCCTAGACAGACCGTAATATTCAGGGACCTCCAAAGCATGGGAGCGCATTTTTATGATGTTACAGTCTGGCTCAAGTAACTGCACATGAAGGGTGAATGTTTCTACAAATGTTTCCGTTTCTGTAAACCTGCAAGTGAAAGAAGAAAAGTTATGTATCAGTCCATCTTCTCTCGCTTGTGATTTGGGCATTGTCCTCCTTTTCTAAACTGAATTACTTGAACCCCATTCTGTCCTGTGTGCTCAAGCCTTGATTCACCATAATCCAGACCCTGCTACCCAAATCCTCCTACTTATAAGTGGGGTGTCTATGTGAAGGAAGAGGTTACTCACTGTGTATGTATGAGTGTCTGTCCCTATCATCAGGGCAGTGGAGAACATGCAGTAGTCTGAAAGAGATACCTTAAGTTTCAGCTTTTGTATTTTCCAAATTCTGTACTGCATTAGTACATAGCTCTGAACTTCATATAAAGTGTTAGCAAGTTCTCTTCACAGCTTAGTTAGACAAAAGAATCCTTTTCCAGCCTGAGAGCCAAGGACACTGTTGCAGCTCCAGGACCAAGAAGTATAAACAGGAAAACTGAGAAGAGCAACCTGGCAGGTTGGGACCTGAAGCTGTAACTGGATAATTAACCCCAACATGCAAATGAACCAAAACTTATAAAAGTGTGAAAATTCGTGACTAAGAATCCATCTTGAGTCCATCTTGGGACCATCTTAGGTGTAGCTGTGGTCAGGCTCTTGTGCTGACCAAGGCATATCCTTTGAAGGCCTGTTTTAATAGATACCCACTTTATTCTTTTAACACTGTCTAGCCTCTGTTCCAGGTAGCCTCACAAGGCATCAAAAGTACTACTGTCCCTTTCCTTAGCATAGCGAAAAATCACCAGTTTTGTGTAATAAGCCAGCAATACATAACACACATTAAATGAGCATATCTGCAATATACTGTGAGAAATTTTTCTGTAAACAGATGGTCACTTGTTGACTAGTGATGCAGCTACTGGATCTAAGTAGTTACAACATGTACAGCAGAACATGCTTTAACTGTGAAAAATTGACTGCTTGCTCTTCCTAAGGTCAGCTGGGCTCCTGGTAACAGTGAAGTGTGACCTGCTTCTGCTGCTTACCTGTACAGCCTAAGCATGACCGTGTCTTCATCTAAAATTGGACATCCATTGTGGGTGTATTTGACTTCATTAGGAAGGAAGTGACAGTCAAAAACCTACAAAGGAGAAAGAACAGACTGGCACCATGCTGCCAAAGATGTTAACTACACAGCATCTGTTCCACTTCTCTCTGAGTGCCTGGAATACATCAGACTGAGAAAATTTTTAATATTTAGTTCTTTCTATGAATAGATATTCACCTGTGCTGTAATCTCCCAGTGAGAGTCAGAGCAACTGGTTAAACATGGGGCTGCCAGCACTCCACAATTAGAAGGGCAAAGGTCACATGTGATTGTTTCAGGCTGCCAAGTCCCTCCCAGGTACAACAAATAGTTTGACCTCGCCTTCTTTACCACTGCAGCCTCTGGAGTTATGGGTGCAGATATATCCAGCAGTGAATACAACTGCAGTGTTGCTGAAAAGCCAGCCATTACAGCATTGGAATTTGAGATTTATTGACTTTTAAAGTTGCTTATGACAATAGCTTGATTATATAGTAAATCTTACTTTATGGCCACTACAACTGTACCACAAAAGTACAACCCAGTGAAATTTTTCTTTTAGAAACTTCACTAGCTCAGAGCTGTTCCTAGTTTTTGTGATACTGACTTCATACCAGGAGCTCTTTTCTAGATCAGACATCATCTCTGTGTCATACAAACATCCAGCCCCAAAATCAGTGTAATCCACAGCACACAAGCAAGAAGATACCTATATTTCCCTACCAGCTAATTCAAAATAGACTAATTTTTACAACACAGCTGATGCAGGCAAAATTTGTAAGTCTGTCTGGCCACAGTTTAACCATCTAAGGCAGACACTTCTTTCAGGCAGATTGATTTATTTAGTGGTTGGTTGACTTGTGAAAGCAAGGCAATGAGGAAGAATTTATGCCTGACATAAATAGAATAAAGATTGCTTTGACACACCCCTTCTTTGGAAAAGGGATTTGGATTCTGAGGCATACAATTTTCATGTTCTCAAATACTGCAATTTGCAAGACTGGGAATTTTAATTCCCATGCAGTATTGTTTCTTTACTGAAACACCACCTGAAAGCTCCTAGCACTGATAAGACTATGTCTGTGTTATCCTTGTGATAACAGGGAGTCCCCACTCTGTCCATGGAGGATGAAAGATGGTCATATTTCATATCTACAGAGAGAAAATGGCATATTCTAGCCAGCAAGAAATCAAAATCACTGCATTTCCTAAGCATTTCACTATGAATATAAATGTATTTGGTTACATGGATTTCCACAGAGTAACGTGAAATCTGTCCAACATTCACTAACAGATCTAATGAGGCTATAACTAACAGAAATTAATATATGTACATGATGTACATGGCTGACTGACTAGCCACTTTTTTTTTTTTTTAGAAAAAAGAAGAGTTAATTTCTTAATGACAGTAATTTTTTTAAAATATGACAAAAAATGATGCCTTGTATGAATTGCCTTTGTTTCCACAACCACTTTAGATGATGGTGAAATGGGTGAGGCACTTTAACAAGGTTCTAAAATGTTGGCTGAAAGTGTAGCTCATAGAGAAATCTTTGGATGCTCTGACTTTCAGTGCAAAATTTATGTAATAATTTAATTCTAAATTAATTGTTAATGTATAGTTAAATTAAGCACCTCATGACCACCTTGTGGACTTACACTAAAGGACATAAGAATTATTGAACTTTGTTTATTTCTAGCCATTACACAGAAGAGAGCTTACATCCTTCTATAATGGAAGAGTAGTTAGAGTTTCTCTGCTTTCATTATTAGTGAAAGGGTCTACTTCCAGTGAAGCTATTTTCAGATGCTCAAGCAATGTGATGATTTTTCTATATTCCTAGGCATTTTAAAATTTCTTGCCTGCTTTTAACTTTCATCAAGAAGTGCCTTGTACAAAGTCTATCCTTTTTTGCTTTTTTTTTTTTTAGTAATGAGTTAGTTGGTTTTCTGACATATATACATGGATTAACTTCTTGGAATAATCTGCGGTGGAAAATGTGCTTAGTTTTATTTGTTGGGACTGCTTAGAAAGGAAGGACAAGAGCAATTTGTTGAAAACAAAATTACTCTCACATGATGAAAATTTTGATTATGTTGTGGCTGTTCTGTTGCATATTATTTTCAAATTTCATAGAAATATGTGCTCTGCTTTTTTTTTTCAATCAAAAACAACAAACATGTCTTTTTCTTGCCTAATATCCTTTCCTTCTTAGTACAAACAAACATAAAGGAATGTGATATTTAAGTAATCAATTTGATAGTTTTATATGATATTCTACCAAAACTGAAAATAAAATTAAATAGTTATGTGGGATGTTATCTTAAAGAAAAAAATAAGCATATTACATACAAAACCCATTCATACTGTAGTTTCAGAAACTTAATGTTGTACACTGAGACTAAGATTCTTCACTGACATAAATCAGTGTAGAGCCCTCAAAGTCAATAGGATTTTGGTTAGATAAGGGTGCTGTGGGGGCCAAGGCCAAAGGGATTACAGAAGTCCAGATGAAAACATCTGAGCCCTTCCCTTGGCCGCTGATGGAGTCACTCCATCACAGAAAGACAATGGGTTGGCCAGGCAGAACCAGCTATTGGTGAAGCCATGCTGCCTATCTCAAATCCACTCCTTGTCCTCCGTGTGCCTTAGCACAGCTTCTAGGAGGATCTCTTCCCTGATTTTCCCAGGCAAAGAGTGGAGGCTGATGGGTCAATTGCCAGGAAAGATCTACCTGTTTTAAGGATGGGTGCTATATGGATGTAAGGATGGTCTCTTTTCCCAGTCTGGAAACTGGGATTTCACCTGACTGCCATGACTTTTCAAGTATCGTTGAATGTGGCTTCACAATTACATCAACCAGTTCCCTAAGGACTTTGGGCTGCATCTCACTGGATCCAATCATATCAAAGAATTAATGTCCTTAATTTTAAGACATCATTAGTTCCACATCTTAATTAGTAACATGGGATTGGAAAATTTAGAACCTTTCCACAAAGGTTTGTTACCACTGACAGACAGGGAGTCTATATGTTCATTGAGACACAATCTGCTTTGCAAAAAGAAACATCTGGTTTATATTTCCTGATATTTTTTCCTTTTGTATAAACAGGCAACTCTAATTGTCTATAAATTCAGAGGGTAAGACAAAGGAAATCTAAATATTTTCCTAATTACTCTCGAGCTTTGTTTTTTTTCCACTTCAAGTGCTTTTCAATTACAATTTATAATTAAATTGTCATACATTCCTAGAATATTACTGACTTTAATGGTAGTAAACCAGATCATACCAGAGACATTTTCTGGCTGCAGAATTTCCTGTAGAAAGATCATGAGTGGCACAAGGAGATCTGGACTCTGGCACCTTGTTTCAGGAATGGTGAAAGCTCAGGCACCACTAGCAGTCACAGCCTCTCTCCAGCCTGGTGCCCTAGGGCCACCTGCCCAGCAGAGCTCTTCCCTCTACATGAGTACCTGCAGCTTCCACACTCTATTAATAACTCTAATAATGAATCTGTGCCTGGACACATATTCAGGGCCGTGAAAGAGCAGGTGCTTAATAGAAGTGGGGCTGGGAGAGGAGAAGTTGTTTGGAAAATAAGGTGCAGCAAATGCACACATCTCCTGGGATCTCCTGAAAAGGGCTTCTAGCTATTTCAAAATACCTGGGTCCTATTGCACATAGAGGCCACAGAAGAAGTTGAAAGCAATGCTACTCCTCAGCCAGACAAATTGCCTACAGAAGAGGTTCACCATAGTTTTCACATGTAAGTCCCTCTTTTTCTCCTCTTCTTTAGATTGGATATTAAGAAAAAATTCTTCACTGAAAGGTTGGTCAGGCATTAAAAGAGGTGCCCCAAGGAAGTGGTAGAATAATCCCCATACCTGGAAACATTTAGAAGTTGTATATATGTAGGGACATAGTTTTAGCACCTGGCAGTGCTGAGTTAATGGCTGGACTCCATGTCCTTCAATGTCTTTCCAGCTTTAATGATTCTATGTTTGTATGAGTCAAGGACCATACTGGGGAAGTAGAGGTGGGGACTAAGGTCAGTGTCCCTGTGCTGGCAGGAAGCAAGCGCTGGGTAGTTTCAGCAGATGCACTACACTGTTTGGGGCAAGTCTCTAGAGAAGATCACACATTGTCCTGCCCATCACCTCCTGTTTTCCCCGGTATGCCTCTCCTCCTTAGGAGTGCTGATTCAGCTGAAGTACTTGTCAGTGGTTTGCAAAAATAATACTGATGACCAAGACAGAAGTTTTGAAAAATCTATTGAGACTGATGCTCCTTCACTTATCTTCACAGAAGCCACCAAAAAACCCAGAAAGGAGGTTAAAAATTATATTCATATAAAACACACAAAAGTGTATGCTGTGGCACAAACCAGAATTTTTCAAAACCCGAAAACCTCTTCGGTTATAAATCATTAAAACCAGTATTCTTCTGCCTATAACATTACATCTTCATGACAGCTACTTTCAACTCCTTCCTGCTATAACTCAGGTGGGGCAATTTGTAAAGCAGTTGAGTAGAAGAATGGTAATATATGAAATATATTTCATTAATCCTACAAGCTTGACATTTGAACAGAAAACAGGGGAGTTTTAATGTATTTGCCATCTGCTAACAATTTGGCTGTTGCAGAGCAGAACAAATAATGCTGTACACAATGCACTTATTGTATGTGATTATTTTTTTCTTAATTGCTCCTTAAGTAGTGGCTCCGTGACTAAAATTCAAAATGCTGTAGTGGGCTGTGCATTACTGAAGGGGCACTGGTTACCCTCATGTGAGAAAAATAAGCAGCTGAGAGACTGGAGGTTATCTCCTAACTGGAAGTTTTGAAATACCCTTTCTTCACTTGTGAAGGGAGACTCTGGCCAGACTCACTTCTGTGCACTTCTGCTAGTGAGCTCAGCTTTGGGATTTTAGGGTTTCAGCCCTCCGCCAAAGCAAAAGCCTGAATCTCACACAGCATTCATTTTCATGCCTTTTAATCACTGCCCAAAAGAAGAACAAAAATCAGTAAAGCAGCTCATTTTAGTTTCTCTCAGACCTGCACACACTTATACTCAAAGCAGCAAAACAGAGCCCAAATACCTGTGGAGTAAGTTTCCCAACCCTCTGTGTTATTGGCTCATTAATCACAACTTCTACTTTGCAGACATCCTTCTCTCTGGGGATGGAAAACTTGAGGTCTTCCTCTGACAGGAAGACAGACTGTCCCTTCATCACTTTCATCCCAAGGTTCACACTAATAAAGGAGGAGCACACAACTCTTAACACAACCGGCAGCAGCAGAAACAATGAGCTTCGCTCAAATGGCTTCATATTATAAGGGGGTGCCAGCCTTTTTCACCACTGAAAAAATTTCTTAAAAGGAGTCTTCTTCCTCCACCAGCAGACTTTTGCCATATAATGAAGGCATTATTATTCACAGCCAAAAATGTATGATATGTTTTCTATTAACAGGCTCTCCTTGACTGAAGGGCAAGGCAGATTTGGGCAGTTATGGGGCAGACATTTACAAAATATCCTTATGTTTTTATAAAATTCATTGGTCAAGCCTGACAAAATGATGAGTATGTTCTCAAAGTCCTTTCAAGGCTTGTTAATCCTGGAAAAAAAAATAAAGAGAAAGAAAATTCCTATAAGGCATTGGGCAACTATAGGGATGAAAACAAGACAGCAAGCACATTCAAAATACTTCCACCATTTCTGACAATTGCAGTTCACTTCAATCAGTAGATTGACTTCACCTTTGAATACCATTCAGTGCACACATGCTCAGAAAATAGCAGACAATCCCAAAATCTGAGTAGAATTCAATGGAAATAAAGAAAAGATAATATAGTATAAATCATAGAAGTTTCTCATGCCCCTAGTTAATCTTTCATGTTTATAACCTCATGAGAAAAGAATATTTATTCTGTCATTAAACAAGCACTACTGAAATCCTTTTAAAAGCCTTATTTCTACAACCCTCCAAAGTAACTGAAGCTACAACCCAAAAAATAGGAAGTGATATTATTTAATTAAATTTGGAAGAACATAAGAATTCCAGGGCAGTACAGTGTCAACATTCCTTTAATTTCTGTAAATTTTTAATTCCCTGACTACCTTTTTGCCACAACCTTATGACCAACAGTGAACTTTCCTGAAAATGAATTTAAAAATAAATCCTTGTATGTCTCTATTTTCTTTGTTGTTGTTAGCAGGTAAGTGTTCACTGTTTCGGGCAGAATGACCTTATGAGCAGCCTTTAACTGAATGCACATTTTAAATTTCACCCAGTTTTAAATTTCACTGCAAAACAACCAGCAGTTCAGAAATTTTGTAAAATTATTGACTTCCTAAAGTTAAACAAGACAGATCCCCTCACTTCACCACATATTTAAGACTAAAGCCATTGAGACTCACATATATGTAAAGTTAGATGTATGTTGACTATGTAGTCTTGAACAAAAAATTTTGACCCTAATTTTCTAGGTATTTATCTGAAAGTCTTTCCATTTTGGTTTAAAATATTGATGTCATACCAGTCTGAAGAAAATCTGAGAGAAAATGTAGAATTCTACTGGTGGAAAAGGAATGGAATTCATGGTAGAATCCATGGCAGATACATGGTAGGATCCATTATTTTCAGATAAGAAAATAATTAGAAATTTTAGATTCAGACTAGGACCCGGAAAAGTGCTAAGTATCCTCTATTGTGGATAGCTATCATAAAACTATGTTAAAGTTGAGAGATAGCTTCATCACCAGTCTGAAAATGGCACTCATGCAGAGGCATCTGCATTTTGACTCTGCTACAGAACAGGTTCATCTGTTTCTGGTACCTGCCCCGTAAATTTCAGCATGCAGTACAGCTGTAAACCTCTGGTGCAGGCAGTGGTTTCTACGCTGCCTTTTCTTACCCTGCATAAAAAACAGAACATAAAGTCTACAAGAGGAATCAGGAGAATTTTGATCAATTTTATGGTGGATGTATGAGACATTCTCTGCTACAAATTTGGTCTTGTTGTCACTGTGTATAACAGTCTTGCTTTGACCACTTTAATTTGCAAATACAGCTCCTGTATCACTATATGTTTGCCCCCCATATGTTCCAGGAGCTGGCCTCTACTCTACTCTTGAATGCTCTAGGACTGTCTCCTGAGGTGGCCAAGTGAAGATCTTGGGAAGTACAACCTCACTTTCCCAATTACTTATATAATGGCAAGAGATTCTTTCAGCACATAATGACAATAAAAATGAGAAAGTTTTGTGGAGGCATCCTCCCCGACATCCTCAACATCCTCCCTATCTGTGAAGAAGGTCATTACCTCAATCAAGCTGTGTGTGCTACATGGTACTTTACTGACTGACAGTGTCCTGCTCAACAGATATACAACTGCTGGCGATGCCACTGTCACATCTTGTGGCTGCTTTGGACTTCCTTGCAATTTCCTTACTTCTCTGCCCTTAATATCACAGCTGAGCCTGATCCACCTCTCCTATTCCTTGCCATGCTACCTGTGTAACATGGACATACAACTAAGGGACTGCTTAATTCCAAATGCATCACAATATTTCAGATATACTTAGTGGCCTAATGAAATAATGGTATTCATGAGCAACACAGAAGGAGTATCAGCATTTTGAAATTAAGCTGTTTCCTCATCAGCTTTCTGAGGGTCTGTCTATGTGACAAAACAACTGAAACAACAGAACAACTCCAGGCTCACTGTGCGAGTACAAGCTCTCAGAAAGCTACCAGCTTTTGTCCCAGAAGTGAAACAGTCATGTCAGTTCAGTGATCTATCATATACCAGTTGTTATCCCTCAGTGGGATGAAGCACATGATTTATCAGGAGAAGCCAACACATCTGGATTTGTTCAGCCTGAAGAAGAGAGGCTTTATTGCTTATTTTTAGACTTCTAACAGAAGAGCGCCTGGAGCATGAGACATACAAACCTACTAAAATAGCAAGGTTTATTTAATAAACAACTAATCAAGGCCTGAGTTGCTTGATGTAACTTTGAAGCCAGATTTGCCATAAAACTGTCTTTTCTTGGAGAAAGAGGTGGGTGCAAATACCTGCAGAGGGTCTTTTCACCCTAAATCATGTTCTGACTCTAAGCTGAAAAGACAGAGCCATCTGACCGCTGGGATCTAAATTAATTACCTGGTGTATTTTTGCAAGACACAGCATTATACCCTGTCCAGTAATTCCCCTGAGATCCAGTAGAAACACCCATACTGATATGAAAAATGTGGCAACAAGCAGAGAGACCTCCTTTCCCATAATTAGAGGCGGATTAGACAAGCTGGCTCTGAGATTTGGAAGCCTGGAAGATAAGTCAGGAAGATGTGCCCAAGGCATTGAACAAGACAACCTGACATTTGGCAGGGGGAACTCTAAGGACCTACCCATCTGCTGGCAACTCCTGCCCACTCATCTGATGAGCCTGGGGGGAAGGCAGAGAGAGAAGGGGCCTCTGAAGAGGCAGTGAATGCAACTCTGTAGAGTTGACAGAGGGACATAACAAACTGGGAACAATGTGGAGGAGGGTTTCTGTTAAAAATTTCCTCCAAGTGACAGAACTGGTTTCCCCCTCAGGGTTGCTGGTGTACGTGTGAGAAATTATGCAATGGTTTAATTACAAACATAACAATTAGAGAGTCTGATTCTGAGCAGAGCTACATTGATGTAAGTAAAAGATTAATCCAAATTATTTAGACAGTTATCTACTAATACAAATCAACTGAAAATAAAATCTGGAACAGCACTAGTAAGTCTCAGCTTTAATACCTAAAACTTGACTAAAATACCTGTAATCATAACTGACCTTGAGCCAAGTCTCAATGATACCCAAAGCCTTCATGGGGATTTGGATGAGACTTCAAAACTTTCTCTGTATGTGACAAAAATCTCTGCCTGGGATATTTCCTTGAGCAGATGGATCAAAATTGCCCTATTCTTTTACAAAGCTGGAAGGGGATAATGGAGAATGATTGTTGTGGGTTTGAAGTTGGATTGATTTGTTTTAATGAATGCCAGAAAATTTTGCAAGAAACAGAAAGAACATGCAAATTTTTTTGAGGACATGTTCGAAGAAAACAAGAGCATTCCATGATTTCTAGGAAATTAGATTAATATTATTACAGCAATTAAAATCCAGTCCAGAGCATTGAAAGGATCATGAACTATTAAATTAGAGGGTTATCACTCCACAATGTGCATTCAACACATGCACCCCTTGGGCTGTTTGCTATTTAATGGTTTTGTTCCACGCACTACAAGCAAGGATTATGGGTCACCAAGAAGCTAGGTATTTGGCAGGGTATTTGCTGAGTTAAGGAATGGCAGATAACACCCTGTAAGTAGTTACACCTTGGACACATGCCAACAGCAGAGATGCATTTTGCCTGAGGTAAAGTGCAATCCTGGGTTAGCTGGGACTGTGACTAGTAGAATTCTCTAACTAGAACACACATAATTTGCAAAATCCCCTTTTAATAAACAATTGAAGAAACAGTGTGTAATTATCTGCAGAATTTGTTGGATTGCCTCAGCAAAACACAGTGAAAGCAACTTATTTCTAAAAGGTCATGGTTCCAGATAAATACATAGAAATCAGCAGGAAATGTAAAACCCTTGTAAGCACACGTGTGTCAAGGAACACACACAAGATTTATTCATACATGTGACTAATAAAACGCTGCCTAGTTTAGATGAACTGAATCAGCTGTCTCAACGAATATGAAAATGTAAAAATGCTGACAGACCTCTATTGCAAAATAAGTCTACAATTTTAAAACATGCATTTTAAAAACACATTATCCCAGCTAAATTAAATATATCTTTTTTAATTACTTACTAGCATCAAAAGTTTTTAGCATATATTTCAGTGCTTTTTTTTATCACAATTTTTCTAGTTTGTCTCATTAATAAGACAGTTCCAAGAAGGGAAATCTTATTTAGTTCTTCCAAGTTTTAAAGCCACAAAGTTTCATTAGATCTGTTGGAAAAAAGCCAGCATAGTTGAGAAATCCATAACAACTTGAATATTAGGATAAAGTTGTTTGGAATCCAAACTTTCCAGTTAATTTCTACTAAACCACTGGCAAAACCCAGTGCCTCAAAGTTAGAACTGAGCTTTCATCCATCTCGAGCTCAAAAATTACTGTCTGGCTGCTCTGCTACAACATCCAGCAACAAACTGAACTCTGCAAGCTGTTAAGCACTATTACAACCACAAACACGACAGCATTCAAACTTGAATCTGATACTTACAGGTAGCAGTGTTTCTGCTGCAGGCTGAACATGAGATCATACTAGAAAAATACTAG